CATGATGAAAGGATCTTGTTAAATCAGCACTTTACACTTATTGTTGTAACCGTACCTGAAATTTCATACAATTCTGTCTCCCTGGAGCAGAGTCCCAACATTTGCAGACTCTCCAGATAGCTCTGTCAGCACTTAGTAAATCTTTCAAGTAGTGATAACCTCAGTAAAAATTAGTAACGCTGCCACTTGTGTACCATACAAAACATCACCTGGAGGCAGTTTTTGGAAGGATCAGCCCCTGAGCTTCCCAATAATACATCCCTCTCCAAATTATTGACTAGTGCTAACGATACTGAATTCTGTACCACCTGAGGGCTGTAGTTATTAATTGTTTGATGTGAAATAATAGACACTAACAGATACCATATCTACAGGAGCATTCTGGACATCCAACCAGCAGCTATTAACAGTATAAGCTATGTGCATCACATCCTGCTTCTAATCAGTTTTTTACCATTGGCATGCTGGTACTGAAATTGATTTTGTTATGAAAAGGAGATACCATCTCATAATCTTCACTTAATGAGCACTGACACAAATAAGAATACAAACATTAAGGCTGCTAAAAATAATGCTATACTTCTATCGGTCAATGCATAGGCAAACCATGTCCACCTGAATGCTGCAAAAAAGAAACTGTATAAAGAAATCATAATCTAAAACCAAGTTATGAACACTGTCAATAAATGCAGGCTCTGTACACTTGGGGAATGAATGAGAAAACTGAGCAGTTGGCTATATTTGTGCTAGCAAATCTGGGACTGGAAAAGCATGAAACATTCCTAAAGGGAGGCAAAAGGGATAGGAGACAGCAGAGAAGGGCCAGCAGGGTGATGAGAAAATCACTTTGTTTTCTTCACACAGGCTTCTCCACCAGCGGTAGGTATGATGTACCTAGGTCCCCTATGGTTAGTAGAATGACTACAGACATAGCTACCGGGGCACTACTGGGTGTACAGGTAAAGCCTTGGAGCTCTTCGCAGGAGGAGCTTCATGACTGCCAAGGGTGGGAGGGAGGCTCAGTACAATGGCAGCAGAAGGGAAGGTTAGACTGCGAGGTTAGGAAAACTCTACCGACAAAGGTGAGAAACACACAATTAAATCAAGACCAAAGCAATTAAATCAAGGGTAAAACACAGCAAGAAAGGAAACAAAACATAAATATATTCTAGAACATAGGTTGTTTTGTTTTGTTGTGTTGGTTTTTTTTTGTGGGTTTTTTTTTTTTTTTCTGTGGAGGAGATAGCGAAAAGGAAAGAGGGTGCGGTCTGCCCAATCAGAGCTGTTTTTTTTTTGTCTGTTTGCAATGAGAAAAGCAGATTTTTTAATGGCCAGAATGAAAATGCCAGTGGGATAGCAATGCATAATTCCCACTCTACGGGTTGCTCTACACATTTCCATCTTAGCAAGAAATGTGAGGTAACTCAGAAACAACAATCCCAGAGTATATTTAGCTACTAAGACTGTGGCACACGAATGTCACATTCCCATGAGTCAACCCTTTTAAAGAGCCCCCTTTTCACGCCCTCACAGATATTCCCCAAGATGCCTGCACTGAATTAAAAGTGAAGCATATGGATGGATGTGACATCATCAAAGCATCCGTGTTACAGACAGAAAAACAGCAAGTGTATTTTGTACTATTAGTACAATTGGTAACAATTATATGTACAGGAAAAGAAAGCAAATAGTGTCTGAAGGATTAGACAGAACCAATGAAGAACACCACAGAGCACTTTGCAAAACAAAGAGAAAATGTTAAAAACAATTTTTTTTTCTGTGAATGTGCAAAAATAAAACACAGAAAAAGTGAAAACAAAACCTTGATAAAAGAACAGCAAGCTTAACATTTTCTGATTTAATTTTGTGCAAGAACTCTTTCCTTTGCCCTTTTAAAACATCTAATTGATAGTAATTTTAGAGCCGTCCAGCTTTGGCTAGGCAAGGCAAGGAGTGACAACACACAAGTAGATGGTAATGGCAAACAACCATGCGGTCACCTCTGCCGCCATTGTTTCTTTTGCGTGTAGACTGCTTCCAGCTTTGTCAGTATTCATAATAAGGCACTAAAGAATGCATGATATTTAAATGACCCTGTCATGTACTAACAGAGCACTTTGGTAACCATCCCTGAGGAGGGAGCTACTGAATTTTAGCCATCTCACCAGTCTGTGAATTGAAGCAAATATTATTCAAATTCAACAGATGAACTTTTATTAATATTTTCAATGCATGCTCCTCTGAAAGCTGCTGCTGGCATACACGATGCTTTTAAGAGACAGCTTTCCAGCTACTAAGCAGTGTTTTGCATAAGATTTGAAAAGTAAAAATCCACACATAACAAATAGTGGCATTAAAATGCATACATTTTTCTGTGTTCTTCTGGGTATATAAGGGACCATGCCTTCCACTATTGCTGGATTCTGACCTCGAACCCCTGACACCAGCAGAAGGGCTGGGTGCAAGGGTCCTTTCCTCCCTTCCTCACCAAGTCTGCCTAATGACATCTGAGAGGAGAAGAAAACCACCACTCACTTTCAAAGAGAGAACACTATTTTCTAAGAAATATCTTCTCACTTCAAGCAGTTGGAACAGTAGGTGTTACTGAGACTGGAGGAAAAAGTTAAAAAAAAAAAGAACTTTATTTCTTTGGTTGTCAGCATTATCACCAATTTACTGCTCAGACAGAGTGGAGAAGGAGGTAAATCACATTGCCATCTCTGAAGAAAGTTTATCTACTTTCTCTTTTCTACATACCTGACACCCAGAAATAACTTTTTTCTGAACTGCAGCTGAAGAGCCAGAGCAGAGGAATAGGGTTCAGATTCAAAGAAATGAGGACAGTCTCTCAGACTGAACTTAAGTGAGAATCTGGAATCTGACCTTTGTTCTTCAACACCCACAGATGATCCTCCCTTATATTGCGGTTTTGATAAGCAAAGGCAGCTGGATTACTTTCGCAGAGGCTCTGCAGTCTCTGCAAGGTACAGAGGAGCCCTGTGCTTACCTTACAGGTAACCCTGATTGAGTTCAAAAATTCACAATTTTTTTTCTTTAGATTTGCAGCTAATCTCCCAGAATGTCTACAGGATCAAGATTAGGAAAAAAAAATCTGGGAACGGATTTTCTAAAACTGAGCTGAAAGAAAAAAGTTAATGGCAGTTTGTCTCTTTTTTGCAGGAAAAGTGAATTGCTGGAAGGTGGGACACAGGTTCATATCTTCTGCTTGAGGGAATTCAGATCTCTGTGTTCTATTTCCTGCCATCAAGCTTAAACACCATGACTACTAGATTAATGATCACCATGGCATCCCAGGAAAATTTACTGCATCTTCTGCCTAATTTCCAGTCTCCTTGGCTGAAAAACTGCTACAGGCTTTGTCTCTGCTGGGCCAGCCAGGTGATGCACAATGCTCCGTGGCCAGGAGCTGCAAAGGCTCTGTGAGGAGTTCCCTGAGAAATCCAGGACATCCCAGGACTGCTGGATCCGCTGTGTGTCTGGGGCTGTTGTGAACACCAGGCTCAGAGATCACAGTCCAGACCACTGCCAGCTGTTCCTGCAGCTCTGCTGAAAATTGAACTGTTTTTCAGTGTTAACGTGCTCATTACCCCCTGTTGAAAGTTTCTGCAGTGAACACAGAGAACTCGACTCAGTGGGTCAGACAGAGGGAAAGAATATGATTTAGTAACCTACTGGTTTGGGCTGACAATTCAAAGCAGTAGGCCTGGCATGCCAGTAGCCTCTCCAGGAACAGCTGATGCTTTCATCTAATGAGTTTTTCATGTAAAATGCATGAACAATAGAGACTGGAATCCACATTTCAATTAATATTTTAAGTGTTTTTTATAAAGTATTCATAGTAGAAAGGCCTGAAGCTCATGTATGCTCCTGCTCCTGGTGAGTGCCCTAACCACACAGCAAGTGAGTTTTGCTTATATCCATCCCCCTCCTGGTCCATTGAGTACTTAATTAGTGCATACAGAGTGAAACATCTTCAGCAAAGAAGAAATTGAAAGAAGAGATCTAAGAACACCCTGGAGAAGAATAATAAAGACTCAAATCTCTCTAGGTAGAGGAGATATTTGAACCTAGGCCCTCTATTTACAAAGGCACCATTTTAACCTCATTCAGATAGGAATGGGAAGCAGTGGGAAGAATTATGGAGGGCCATGACGGAATTACGAAGCACCACCATGCTCACTCAGAAGAAAAGCTTCTCCTTCACTAAGCAGGTTCAAGTGGCAATCTGAGGCAATTCTCTGCTTACTACTTTATTTACACAGCAAAGTGGGACTAGAGGCCAAACAGGGCTGCCCCTTGTCTCAGGCACAATGGTGCTTGGAACATGGAATTATGAATCTAAAGCAAAGCACCCTTTTTGGGCTTTCAAAACACAACAGAGAAATGCTCTCCACCAGCAATCACTGAAGTATCTTTTGAAAATGATAATCTCAAAGGTGTTTCATGCTCAGGTCCCACTGAAGACAGTGGGACTATGGGGGTCCAGTGGCTAGGACCTGTGTCAGCATAACTCCACCAGTTAAACTGTTATAGACCTCAGAGCTTCAGTACCTCTGATGGCCAGAGTGAGATGGAAATAATGTGAAATTAGCTGAGACTTGCTGTGCTTCCCCAGGAATATAGGAAAAAAGACAGTATGAAAATACACGCTTAGGAACAGTGGCAAGCTATGCATCTCCCTTTGACAGACAGTGAGGAAGATCAAGTTTAAAGAGAGCTAAGTCCCCATTGTTTCCCATGCACTGGCACAATACACACAGCAAAGGCACACATTTCTATTTGTTTTGTGTGGTTTCCTCAGGCAGTGAATTATCTAGGACTGAGTTTGAGATTGGCTATTTAGTTTCAGACTTTACGATAAGCTTTTAATTATAGCACAGGAGTTTTATTATATGTTGCTCAGAGCCAGCTGGAAGCACTTACACTTCAGTCCTCCCCCCCTCCCTCCTCACCACAGGAAGTCATTTCCAAGGCCTTACCCTTCTTGTCTTGATGATTATGGGATGAAACTGCCACATATGGATCTGTATTTTCGGATGAACCAAGCGGATCCTTCCAATCCAGCATGCGTCCCCTAGCATCATAACCCTGTCGAGCCCAAGAGTCGGAAGAGGTGGTGCTTGGAACTAGTGAACTGGAATGTCCTGTTACATTATAAATACAGGTAGGGAAGACAAGTCTCAATTAGTCACTTACCACACCACCTTATGCTCAGGAGCACAAACTTTGATCTTCCTCGTGTGTGAACCTCTTAGACTGAGCAAGGCTTCAAAGGCCTTGCAAAGAACTTCCCAAGGAAGCACAGAATTTGGACCTTCCCCAGTGGCTAGTCTGATAGTGTCAATGACTGTGCATATTCAGTTGGCTGCAGCTTAGTTCATGGTTGTGTTTTTGCCCAGCAGTGTTAAAGGTATGCAGAACATGAGGATGCTTTGTTTTAGTCAAACATCCTTTAGCTGGATTCTGCACATGAGCTTGAACAATGCCAAAGTGTCAGTCCTCACTGGCTGGTAGTGACTTAGGTTGAAAAGCAACTTCAAAGACAACTTAAGCATTAAAATGGAACAACTTCTAGCATGGCCCAAACTAGAAAAGCTACAATATAGATGTTCACTAAGGGAACAAGAGCTTCCCAGAAGCGGCACACTGATGCTAGGGCATCAGACTCAGGGTGGGGCTGGAAGATGTGCTGGGTTCATGCCCACTTGCACCATCGCCATTGGTACTATCTGAGCTGGTACTGTAAAACAGCACTGAGATAAAGACTGCTAGCACAAAGCTGCACATTATTTCTGCTCAAATTAACAATGAAGAAAAGGCCTTACTATGTCTATGTAAAACTGGCAAAGAACCCATAACTACTATGGTCTCCACATCTCACTTGGCTGGTAGACCTGTTAGGACAGAGGCGTGGCATTGTTTGCTTGCTGTAGGCGCCTGTGAATGCCTGCATGCTCATTCTGAAGAAAACTTAGGATGTGATCTGCTTTGCATTTGTCACATAGGCTGCTGGAGATCAGCACACACCTCTAGACCAGAAGAGAGGATTACAGTCCAGTGATGATGAGTTTTACAGCTGCTCTAGACATTGTTATGGCTGAAAATGGCTGAGGAATTCCTCACTGGTTGAATACACCCTAACACACAGCACACAAATAGGACATATGCTGCTGTAAGCACCAAACAGTGTTAACACTAGTTTGGCTGGGGCATAAACATATTTGAATCTTTGTAAACTTGATCCCAAGAAGTAGGTCAGCACCCAAAATGCAGTGTGCTTGAAGTTTATGGTCTCTGAATGCTGGCTCCAACCAGGATACTTCAGTGGCTTGTCTGCTCCTTGGCTCCTGGGAAAGAGGGCACTGAAACTCCATCCACACCACATTTTGACTTTAAAATCACTTGCTTCTGAGAGTTCCCTTTCACTATGTGCACCAAAATGTCTTATCTTTAGCAGGACTCAAACTGCTTCTGTCCTTGGTGTGGAATAATTCAATATTCCCTTACCTGCTTTCCTGAACGAGTAGAATCAGATCATTCAGACAAAAAGGCAGATAATGTCTTTTTAGATAACACTGGACAGACTAAGAGTAGTTCTCCATTCTCCTGCCTCCTTTTTAATAGCCTAGCAACCTAAACTAGATTTCAGTCCTCCCCATGGGGAGGAGGCCAGACATCAAACTACTGACTGTTCTAGCAAGGCCTCTTCCCCTCTCCTTCTCAAAATATTACACTTGTCAGAAAAAGCATTTCAGGTTCACTGGGGCAGAATTATACACAAGGAGCCCAAATTTGGAGCAGAATTTACAGAGCTAGAAGTGAGGAGATTGTGCTTCACTGTCATTTTTAAATCATCACTGGACACACATAAAGCTTCAGGATGTTGTACCTTGAAAAGGCTGCTTTAGATGGATTTTCCATTGGTGCTTTAGCAATGCTGGCTTATACTCTCAGAGGCATGTGCACAGAGAGCTAATGAATCTAAGGTTCTCCTCTAGCCATCAGAAGTCTAAATCTTGGCCACCAGCGTGTCCAAGTTTTGATGCAAGAATGCACTTCATTTTATCTAGACCTTTTAACAACTTTGTGAGGTTAAAATGTTGATGAAATCAGCAAAAAAAAAAAAAAAATCTGTGGCTTCTGCTAGGATGCTGCTGTGATTTAAAAGAAGTCCTGGTGAATATTAATGATTTTGGAAGGCAAGAAAATACCTGCAGCTCCTCTGCACTTTTGAATTGCTACACACTTCAAACAGGACACGGACAGAACAAACTCCTGTAACTATTATGCTTTGTAGAGAAGGTTGGTCAGATTCAGTATTCTCACCATGGAATCTATCTTCAGATACCACAGCAAATCATAAACATGATTAATTGGGCATTGGACCTCAGTCTGAAAGCTTGTGTTGACAAGGGAATTGTACTACTTTTTATCTCTTGTGGTAGGAAGTGTGGTGTCTCTAGCTGTCTTTCTTTAACAGCAAATCAGAGGCTGTATTTTGTTGAAAACAGAGCTTTTAATGTTGCTTAAATAGGAAAGAGAACCCAAATATTATCCACTTTTAAAAAGTTCCTATAAGCCACAGCATAGCTGGAAACACTGATAACACAGCAAGATGGATGATAGACCGTGATCCAAACTTTCTGCTTGCATCACTGAAGGTCTGCAGGGCTGCCTGTTTCCAAGAAGACAGGTAGAGGCCCCATGGGCTGAAAACACGTGCCCTTTTGAAGCAAGGAAACGCTGGAGCGTGAAAGCTTTCACTTCTACACCATTTCACGCTTGTCAGTTCCTGTGTTCATTCCCAAGAAAGAAGAGGAACAATGGGACAGAGAACAGCCCATGAGATTTCCTTGTCTTCTTTTTCCTAATGACTAAGTCACATCTCCAAATTAATACCCCATTAAATGACCACAATAATGTGTACAATATTTGATCAACCTACAAATAATGCTGCACTCAACATAAGAAAGCAATTAATCAGAGCTGGATATAGAGGTAGAAGAAAATCTTGCCAAGTAGCAATCATATTTTATACCTGCCTTTGATATGCATTTTTATGCCTATTTTAGATGTGTTTGAGGGTCAATTTTAAGAAAAAGCCATAAGTATGTTTAAACAAAAACATTTCTTAATACAGCAATCTAGAGGAAATACAAGGACACATTTCCAAAAAGAAAAAGAAAAAAAAAATCCTCTAGCATATGCTGCAAATACATGGAGAATTTCATTAGTAATGAAAAGCTAAAGCTTTGTGAAGATACTAATGTGTGCCAGATGGTAGTTAGGTAGTGAAGGATTTCACACAAGCGGAGAAATCAGTCTCTTTGCTCTGTTACTAATGTGCAAGTATAGTACACGCTGAGAAACAATCCCCCATGTGAAATCAAGATCAACTTTCTTCCATTTGGTAGAAGCAGTGAAAGAGCAGATTAAGCTTAACAACTTTCCTTACTGGTGCAAGATCTGCATTCTGGAAGCATTTACTACTGGGCAGTGCTACCATGCCAGCTACCATAAGCAGTATCACTGAGTCTCGTAAGCAGCTGAACAGTCAGTCCCACTGGGTGAATTTCACCTTTGAACCGAGTGGCACCACAAATGTATTAGGTAGTTAAGTTTCTCTCATAAACAGAGAAAAGACTGAAGTGGCAGGCAATGTACTCCTAGCCCTTTCACATTCAGTCACTATTAAGCCTTTACAGTGTACTGTATAGTTTGCAATATTGAGTGGATCTTCTTTTTTCTTTTTCCCATTCCACCATTTTTACCACTCTGACTGTGTAAACTGGTTTTGCTACAGTTTTAAGAGTCGTTCCCTCTATGGCCAGCATCTCTATGGCTGGTACCTCTATGTTAGTATTAGCTAGAGTTTCATGTATCTAAAAACCACAATCCCGCCTTTGTTTTAAAACAATCCATCTGAAAATTGCAGAGACAGTCCTTTTCAAACTGCTTTGTTCAGAGAAAATATGCAAAACTAAAAATAGACACACTTCAAAAAAGAGCTGTTTTAGGTTGCTTCCATTGTTTGCAAAAACTCTTCATTTGGAGTGCTGTAAGTAATAGAACCAGCATAAAAGCTCCTAGGGTCTACAGGCATGGGTAATGATCCAACAGGGCTGTGCTTCTGTAACTACAGCTTGTTTGGAAGTGCACTTGTAAAACAGAAAGAGATTTTTTCAGCTTTAAAACAAAGACAGGGATTCAATACGTATTTGATGGTTGCTCTAATATGCACAAGTCATAAGGATCTCAGAGGTTAAGACGTCCGCACACTATCCTATTAACAGCTATAGCAACCTAATTAGACAATTAGTAGGAAAGGCTAAATCAATACTACAAAGAGAGAAAGGGATATGGCTAGGGGGTAAGATAAGGGCCCAATTCACTAAGAACTGAATGTTTCCAATGATAATTGAAGCTGCTTACAATTTCATGGAAGAATCTAGGCTAATCTCTTTGTTTAAACATGCGTCTTTTTCACTATTCTTCTCTGACCTTCTGCAGCAGATTTTAGCCTGCTATCTTCTTCTTGAGTGTCAAAAGAGATATAATTGAACAGCCACCTGAGCGGGCTTGCAGTTTGTTACTTGTTTACAACCAACCATGGGAGACTGCCCTAGAAAAAGGATCCCACCTGCCAAATTCAGGAGGAGGCTAATGTCAGGAATACAGCGATAAAGGGCTCGATTCTCCTTTCAGTTACACTGCTACAGAGAGGCAATAAGTCCACCAAAGCCTGATGATTTGTGGTGGTGTAAATCAGCTGAAAGAGGTAATCAAGCTGTAAGACTTTTTTTTTGCACCTGGAGCTTCAGATGCCTTTGGATATATTTAACCCAGCAAAAGCACTCTAAGCATTCACTTGATTGGCATCCTGGTATATCGCAGTTCTGAGGTTTAATCTGAAATACCATTTAGTTACATATTTAACAGTAAAAGGCACCATTTATAAAATTTTAGTTTCCTCATGAAAAAAAAATATAACTCAGAGCAGATGTAATATTTAGCAAATGTGAGCATGTTTACCAAGACTGATTGACTGTCTAGTGCTGGAATTCTATATGCTCGTGATGTGGAATATCAATAGAAGTGACTAGCTCTTTTTGTATTTTGTCTTGATAGGTGAAAAGAAAGACTGACTGCAGAAATAGCAGTATTTCAGCTGAACCCATAGGAAGAAGTGCTGTCTTGCTTAGTGACCATGTATCAGGATCTACCTGTGAAGAGTCAATGAAAAAATCTGCAAAAGATGCCATGAATGGTAATCATTTTCAACTTACATTTGGCAGTGGGATCCTATTTTATGAGCTGGATTCATTCATGCAAGGACAGTAAACTGGACTTCTTTTGTAATCTATGTTGCCTAGGACTGCAGCTTTTTTTCACCTTGCCACTCATTTGAATCATTTTTCCCCCTGCTTTCTCAGTCAGACTAAAATATCAACTTTGGATTAAGTCTAGGATGGGATACGGGTTTGCAGCCTACAGGTATAACTGTGCAGCCTTCAAACACAGTAGCAAAAATGCTAAGACACTTCTGGCATATTAGCAATGGGCTCAAGGCCATTTTCTCTTTCTTTAGATTCAGCAGTATGGATTTTATTATTACTACTTATTCTTTAATTACTGCTCTGTGCCTTGGTTGTATAGCAATTTCAGCTGCAAGCTGTATGTACAGACGAAACAATCAGTCTTTCATGCATTATGAAGTCTCAGCTTGCCTTTGATTTTGTATATTTCCCTCATTGGTTTTCATTATCATACTTGTAAACAAGTCTCACTTGCGCATTTTCCATTTCCCGATTAAAAACAACATGGGAAATTTTATTTTTTTCTTTATTTTAAATGCTGAACAGTACTGGTGTATCTCCAATTATTTACATCCTGTTGCACTGCGTTATCATTGGTTCTGTTTGTACCTACATATTTTGCGTGCACGAGGTGAAGGGATCGATCTAATGTGCATCATCACAATTTCAAACTGGTCTACCTCTATTTACGTTCAGCTAAACATATAGTTATTTTGCCCCAGCTCTAATGAACATTTAGTCTTGAATAGCCTGGATGTAATTTCACAAGTAAGTTCTCATCCCACATGGAAATTCAACATTGACTTAGTTGTGAACAAGATCACACATCCTTGTGAGCACTTATCATTGTTCAGATTGCTGATAAGGAGAAGCTATTGCAAGACAAATCTAGGTTTGAATTTGAATTCATCATTTATTCTTCAGTAATTCCTCCAGAAGACACTTTGCACTCCCAGTGCCAATGTAATCCACTTCCAAACAAAGAACAAAGTGGTGCAAAGTACTGCATCTGCAGATTAACATCTGCCTGGAGGGAAACTGCTACCCTAAGCTGGCAGAAATGCTTCTTTTCAGCTTTGATCACCTAATTTGTTGGGTGAATTCTGTTTTTTACAGACCAGGTACCATGTGAGTATTGTGATACTGCAAGAACGGATAACATAAATGATTCACTGCAGAAGTGACCAAAACTTTTGTAACTGAGGGTGTAACCCACTCTCAACTGACATGGGTAATGATTAATTTTTCTTAAGAGAGGTCTTTCTATCACCCAGGGACAGTTCCGATCCTTTCCCAAAGCTGTCGTTGACTAGCTGCTGGAGCAGTCATGATACCAGCCTGAATACCTCATGAGTGGGATGTGAGCTATCTTGTTTTTTCCAGGGAACAGATAATATGCATCACTATATCCAAGTCTTTCTTTGTCTGTGTATTCAGATGAAGCAAGCTCTTAATCATGTCTGCTGGAGTGCCAATAAAATAAACCATCTTAAGCAGTTTTGAGAGAGGACAAGAAAAGAGGGAATGCAAATCAAGAGGCATAACTTATTTTCACTTGTGATTAGTGAATTAGGCCCTCAGAGGCAAGACAAAACACAAGAAAAGGTTAATGGCTCTTTGACTAGAGGAACTACTAGTTAACACAAGGTTCCAGAGAGACTTTTTAAAAAACACCCATAAACTGACCATACACTGTGTTGTAAGACATTTCATGATCAGGTGAAGCAGTTGAAATGTCTATGAACAAAATAAATTGGGAAAAAAGAAACATTAAATAAGACGAAAAATATGAAAATACTTAAAAGGTAAGTAAAAAGTCATTCCTCCAAAATGGATTTGCTGTCAATAAATAGTAAAACTACGAACTTTCTTACCATTCAGGGCTACGAAGGAATCTGAAAGACAAATAACAGGGAAAAAAATCATTATCTCTCTCATTTTTTTCCTTTTTAGTACTTTACTGCTAGCAGTCTTTTATGCTTCAGCTGATGTCTGTATGTATGTGATTACTACGCCAAGAACCTATGCAAAATGAGTATTCAGAAATACCTGAAAACAACAACACCTGACTTTAAGTGCATTCATGGCTGGACCCACACAAGTAACACCAAACAGGAAGGTCAGCTTTCTCCCTGGCATGCTTTTTTTTTTTTTTTTTTTTTTTTTTGAAGGTCAAGTCCCATTCCAGTGTAAGGCACAATAAATAATGCAGCCAGTATGATGAGTTGATGATGAAAAAACTCACATGATCCAAGACTTCACGAAGTAGTAAAACCAGCCAGATTAACATTCAGAGTTAAAGAGCTATTTAAGCAGGGTATTTGTTCTGTTGCTAGCTGCACAGAGATCTTTCTCCATGAGCACAACTTACTTGCCCTTTCTAAATCAATACTTCCCCTTTTATGTGCAGCTGATATCCAATGGACTCCACTCCTGTCTAACCTATTTGCCCAAGAAGAGCAGAAATAAGTTGATAGTTGAAAAGGACTAAGTTGTACCAGCTGGGAAATGACCTAGTTTTGGTGCTATACTGTTTCACAGAGAGGACAAGAGGGATTGTGTGTATACCTCCTTCAAAAAACTTAGAGACAGTGTAAGTGACCCTATCTCAGGGGACAGGCAGAGGGAGGTGTAGCTGAGAAAAAGGCATGTAGAGGTGGAAATCCTCATAGACCCACAAGCACAATTATCACAATTGTAACTGAGGCTTGAACAAGGACAGGTTCTTTGTTCAGTACTTGTAAGCATTTCAGTGCTAAACATAAATGTTGATGCTTCCAGCTCTTGCTGTCAGTATGTAAGGTTTATCATTAAAATTTCTTAGGCAGAAACAGTGGTGTTCGACTCTTAAAACTGCCACATTTTCTAGCCTGTGTGTAAAATTCACTAATATTCACAAACACAGCAACTCCCACTTACTGATTCAGAACAAAAGCTGAAGATATATTTCATTGTCTCCCTGATCTGCATAGGAGTGCAATTCAAGTCACAGTCTACACCAAGAAATCAAGCTCCTTCTTCTACATGAACAACCCAGCTACCATGACTGATAAAGACAATGAGCAACCAATTCATTATTTCATTGCTGTGATCAATATCCTCTAGAACGGAAGTCTTCTCATTATATAAAGTCCAGTGTTTGAATAAATCACACCAACTGGGCTATTTAAATACATCTAAACAACAGTTTCATTTCTGTCATCTTTAACTTCATCTGCATCTGCATCTTTAACTTCAGTTGCAATCCCTTTTGTGGCTTACACCGCTATAAGAGAAAGTCCAATGTCTAACAGGAAACGGTGATTTTATGGCATTCAGAAAGATGCTGTTACACATGGTAAAAAGAAGGCAAAAGCTTTGCTTACTTTGGCAGTCCCCCAGGCCATCTGTATTGCCATGCTCTATGTCCTGCTCAAACACCAGCCTAAATAATAGAAAGAAACATAACAGCATGAGTAACAACTGTCACAGGCACTGCCAGAAAAAAAATTATCTCATCTGCAACTGAAATAAAGACACACCATGAAACTGGACATTTCTTTGAAACTTTCCTAAGGTGTCAAAAAAACAAAACAAAAACGGAAACATAGGCCTTCAAATTATTTGTCATCAAAAGTGATTCCTTGGCTTCTTCTTTGAAGAAAACCCACTGTGTATCTTTTTGTCAAGGGAGGCAAACATTCATATTTTTTTAAATTGTTAACTATAAAAAAAAAAAATGTCATTGTCAGGAGCAATTATGATCCTACCTTGACTTGTCCATACAGCACCAATATTTTGACATAAGAAGGGAGCTAACCTATGGGTTAGGTACTGTGCTGGGGCAACAATCTGCATTTTCAAAATTATTTAAGTATTGCATTGCAAAAGGTCACAGGTCATAAGGTCCAAAGAACACAAAGTGAATTACAGTGAATCTAAGGGCCTCGACTGATAAATATGTACAGGCTTTCCAAGCTGGCATGCCCAACTTAGGCATTTAACGTGTATCAGACATTTTGTGAAGCTGCTTTTCCAAGTTCCAAATATGGTAAAAGAGGAGTGCAGGAACCTTGGAAAACCTCCAGTACAAGCTTTGTCTACATCAGTTAGGATCCTGCTGTTGAGGTATAATTATCCTTGCATACACACAATTCCCAGAACTGTGTTCTTAAAACTCCTGCTCAGTTGTCACCTACTCCAGGAAGGCACCTGTTATCTTGTTGGATAATTTAGAAGTTCATCAGAAATCTGAAAGTTGATTTGCACTTTCTTCCTAAGTGCTGTGCAATGGTAGAGAGAGTGACCTGCCTCGCTCACCTGTGGACTGCAACAGCACAAGTTACATTGCCTCTCTCTCACAGAATCACAGAGTTGCAGGGGCTGGAAGGGACCTCAAAACATCATTTAGTCCAACCCCATGCTAGAGCAGGATCCCTAGAACGACTTGCAAAAGTGTCCCAGTGGGTTTTTAAATATCTCCAGAGAGGGAGACTCCATAACCTCTCTGAGCAGCCTGTTCTAGTGCTCTGTCACCCTCAAAGAAGTTTTTTTCTCATGGTCAGATGAAACTTCTCATAAAGCAGAAAAAACACTTTTGACGATAAGGTGTGTATGTCCCCTAAAACTTGTCATGGCCAAGTGCAAAAGTCTCAAGTACTTCAAGAATGCTGAGAAACCCTTATGTGCACAGAAGTGCACTTTAATGTTATTCTACAAAACAACCAGTTCCCACTTCTGTGATAAAATGTATTCAGACAGATAAAACTACAATATCCACAATGGACAAAACAACTGGAATTTAAACAGCTAATTAAGATCATGGAATAAACAAAGGAAATGTAACTCATCCAGTACAGAAGCAGTTTAAGCTGGATTGGCTGTGAGGCTACGGTGGTTGTGTGATGTTTGTGCGACACTGGAGGTAAAGCTGTACCCTCAGAGTGTCAGGTGTAGCCCAGGAATATGATGTTTGAAACAAATCTGCTCTCTATAAGAAGACTTAGGTAATCGTATTTAAACAAAACTTCACAGAGTTTCTATTATTATGAAGTAATTAAATTCTACTGTTAAGCAAGGGGAAATCCAGCCCTTCTCTGAATCTACTTCAAGCTTTCTCTGTGCCCTGTGATTCCTCTTAGTAATGCACAGTAAATTAGAAAGACTGGATTTGTTTCCAGTGGACAAATTGCTACGGTAATCTAATTTGGATTCTATTGCCTCTTTAATCAGCTGTGATGGCTCCAGTGTGGGCTGGTCCAGACATAGCCATCCAGTTTCCCCTTTTCAACAACACGTGGGCTTTAGTACAACTCTTTCATTTTCTTCTTCCTCTTCTTTCAGCAGTTACCAATCAGCTGAGAGTTCACACCAAAAAAAAAAAAAAAAAATTGTGAGAAATTTCAGAGGATGCAAACTGGCCAGGAACAAACACTTCACACATTTTTCTTCCCTGAGAGCCCCACATTTCAAAAAGCTCAGTCCAAGTCCCCCTGGCGCCATTGCCACTGCCTCGTACTTTTCCAGCAGGAATCATTACTCACTTAGCACCAAGGACCAGCTGTGTGCACGCCCCACTCTCCTTCACCCAGCCGCAGTAGGGGTCTCTGGATGCTATGCAGGCCCTTGAGAAAAAAGCAGAGGAAGCATTCTGAAATGCTCTCATGCCTGACACAGAGACTTCTGACAAGAGATTAAGTGCTGGCCAAAGTACGTACTTTTTGCATTTGCCATGACGCTCACACCGCCCCAGGGGAACTTTGATGACACAGGTGGAGAAGGCAACGTAAAGGGCGCTGCTGGGTTTGTCAAGCTGCATAGCCACAATACGCTTGTCTTCCATGCCATCGTAACTGCACCTGATTTGGCAAAGTGAGAAAATGTCACAAAAGAGTTCTGCTGGGAAGCCATATGAAAAACTAACGGCTCCTCAATCTGAAAAGGAAACAAAGGAAGACCACCAGAAACAAAACCTGAACAAGACAAGGTGAAAGAATAAATGGTAGCCACTAAAAATACCAATAAACAAGACATACAATTAAGTATTAAAGTGCATGGTTCAATGGAAGGAGAGGTGAAGAGACACTGCAAAGCAGACATGCTTTCTAAGAGCCTTTCAGTTTTTATATTTATTCTTCTTCAGCACTCAAAGTAATTGAAATTTCTGCATGTTTATGGCCCACTTCAGTGTCCCTTCAAGCATATTTAAGGAAGGCTAAAATGCCAGAAATTTCCCTTGGAGATTATCTTGCTGGTTGATGAGTTATTTGGAGGGGAGTCACACTTTTTATAGGATTAGAAAAATAATCTTCCTCTGCAGAATTTCTTTTAATTATCTATCAACTGCTGCATAGAATGGGCTATTGTCTATACATACTGGGTGAATAATATTTTAATTCAGTGTAGAGGCTGATAACCATACATCCCTCCAAACAATTTAAAACTACTGAAAAAACTTGGCTTCTCTACCTACTTTCCTTTTCATGGGACAACTTAATCTCCGGGAAATCAGAAGTGTCAAAAGTTACCCATACACGAGTAAAAAGAATCAGATACACACTTTTCAGGATTGTAGATGTTCATCTCCTCCAGGAAAAGGCTGTCATTTAGGAAACCGCTGTTTCCTGTCCGTGCCAAGAACTTCAGGATGATTCCCTTCTCTGATCCCAAGAAAACCACAGTGTAGTTCTTATATGGCCCAGCAGCAGAGTCAACAGCAATTTTGGTGAGACGGTATCTGGAATAACAATACAGCATCTTGCATCATAGGGATTAGACTGCTGCTTATTTTATCACTTTTTCCACTTAAAATATCTGTGAGACAGCCTTTGGGGGATCATATAACATATTTAAGCACTTTTTCTAGCTGAATAACCCTGTAAGTCAACACAGACTGCACCAGTTTGGCTGCCCAAATGGTAGGGAATTTCCGTGTGCTTGTGTGCATGTCCAGATGTCAGTTAGCAAACATATCTGCAGAAGCAAACCTCAAGCAGAAGGCTGGAGAACCATTGAGAGGCTGAGGCAATTTAGGAATTATCCTTCCATACAAAAGTAAAGTACTAACTTGATGTCTTTTACAGGCAGGGAAAAAAAATCAGCATTGTGATTTTTATTTTAAATTTTTTAATTTCAAGCTCCACAGCATTAAGAAGAGGAATAATTATAATGGATCTGCATTCAATTTTTTGTCAGGAAAAGCTGTGTCAGTGCAATGCTGAGAAGCTAAATTTCATTTTCTTTGACTAAACCACTAACCGATTGTACTACCAAAATGGTATCTGACTGTGGGATCACAGAATTTATTGAGAGTGAGTGCCGATGATTTCATACCATTGGTTACTTGGTACTGGAGGTCAAAAAAAAGCACTGTGCAGAGCATGTTGCTCTCATCTTTGACCAAACATGCACAACTAAAATGTAACATGGCAATATTGCATGGCAATGCAGCTAGGTAATATTGCATCAGGACTTTGTGAACCCCACTTCTGTACTGAAGTACTGAAGTCTTGATACAAAATTCCATCCTTGTACAGAGGAAGAGAGGAAAACAGGGCAATTTTTTTCAAATTGCTCCATTTACAATTGAAGGGTAGATAAGTAGTTTAGTGATCACAGCATGACATGAGAGTGGGAACATATTTACAGGGGGAGAGTATGGAGTATTTGAGGCTTGCTGATTTATGAATCTTTGCTCAAATCTCCATTATTATTCTCTTGTAATAGAAAGGATACAGATTAGTTTTCACTGTACACTTCTCTAAACAGTAATACATACCAGCATATAACAGAACAGACATCTTCATATCCTGTGAACATATCCTGGCAGGCGTGTTTGTATCCTGTGTATGTATCCCTGGGCTATCTGTTGATCCTTGCCTGAAGGTTTCTACAGAGCTGTCTCAAACACTGACCCATAAGCCAAGAGACAGATCAACCTTTCCTGTACTGCATTTCCTCCACAATCCAGTTTCAGCACAGCGAGTTGGAAAGGATTAATTTTTTTTCTATCTTGGAAGCTGCTCAGGGAGTTCTATGGCATCTGCTCAGCACTACCATCTTTCCTACCTGGAGTCAAGCCCAACTTACCATGGAGGTCTACAGAATTTGAGAGTATTGTAAACAAGACCATTAGCACAACCTGACAGTCACGAGGAAGAGTCCATTCGATGGTACTTACCTAACCATTGTTCTCAGGAACCAGGGTCGATTGACAATGGAAGGTACAGCCTCATCCATCAGTGGGTGTGTTTTGATGAAGTTCAGAGTATCATCTGGGAACTCACTAGAGGTTGCGTATTTTTCTAATGATGTAGAGCCAGCACAACAACCTGGTCTAAATGAAACAAGAACGTAAAGTGAGAACACTTACTTGATACATGTGTAAATCTCCTTTCTGTAACAACTGTCATGACACCCTCAGTGAAATCTGGAATGCACTGCAAGAGTTTAAATGAAGGGCTGAGAAGTATGTTTGACTTGTTCAGACCCTCATGGAAACCCCAAACCCTGCTCTAACTGCCACTCAAAGGTTCTTCCATGATGCACCTAAAAGCACAAACACATTTCTTTAGCAGGAGTTTGAAACACATGGATTTTAGTCTGTTCACTCACATGAAGCCTAGCTACTGTATGTTTGTATTTGACTTGATGCTGTTCACTGGCACAGATATTCTCTGATCTGTATCTTGCCTACCTGACTATTCTTCGATAAAATAAAATTAGTCTTTAGCATACAGAAGGAAATTGCTTATATAAAATGGGTGGAAGGATGCTGCCTTCAATACTGTTTGGTAGAAAGAGGACTTGAAGAACAAAACCCACCAAACACCCATGTGAGCATTAGTTTTATCTTTTAAGTAGGTCTGGACAAGAGAACTTAAATCTAATAGCACGTGAAGGACTTCCACTGAGACACTGTTGAATCATTTTGGACAATTTAAATGCAAATCTACTTACTGCATTCCTAAAGTCTGCCCTCCTCTTTGAGCTAACTTAACCTTCCTGCCTCAACAGGTAATGACTACACTGGAAGCCTCCTAATTCTCTGCCTATTATTAAGATTTTGTGGATTATTTTCTCCAGAATTTCATTTGATCTAATTTCCTGGACCATTATGATTCCTCAGCCTTTGAACTGCTGTGAGATGAAAAGACAAAAGATGGATCATCCATGTATAAACACTCTGCAGAGTTCAATCTTCATCTGATCTAAAATGGATAGAGCCATTGACATCAATGGAGTAACGCTACCTTGAACATATCTGCCACTCAGATTTAGATAAATGTTCAAACCTTAGGTAATAAAATGTTATGTGGGTAGGAAGGGACTAACTTCGTCAGTGCCTTTAGTCCTGCACTGTTCTTTGTGCTTGCCAGGTCCAAAATATTCTGATTGTTTTGTAACTACACATAGAATTTACAATAGAGGATAAATCAAGGCCATCACTAGGTCCTTGCAAAGGCACTGATTCAATAGGTGAAATTCTCTAGGGAGCAGCCTATGCTTTCTGGCACCACAGTGCCTAGGCTTTTTCCATATCTAATCTAGAGGCTTATTCTTCCTAAATCCTAATCACATGATTGGATTAACCCTATTTTAATCTCAAGAGTGGCTCAGTTGAGTAAACATAAAATTGAGTAAATCCTTCTCTTCATCTCAGCAAAAAAAGGAAGCGAGGCCCCTGAAATTTTCCAGCATGTCTCTGAGAAATGTTAGGATCAACAGGAGCATTAATGTTTCTGCACCATCTTAAGATGTCCAAACAGGAATGACCCTATTTCAAAGTCATCTTTTGCCTTTCTTCTGAATTTCAACATGAGTTACAAGTAATGATTATTTTATTTAGCAGACTGATGGCCGAGTATTGTATTAAACATTTCACTCATTCAGTTCACATTATCTCCTACTGACTTAGACGAAGCAGTACTTCCCATCTTCAGCTGTTAGTATGCCATTGGACTGTCTCACAGACTTACGTAACTTTCTCTTCTCCCTTTCCACTGACAAGAAGGAACATTATTCTTTGTTCTTGTCCTTCTTCCTTGCCAATATTCTATGCAGGACTACCATTTTCAGATAAATGACCTTAGAATTCTCAAGCCATCTTACTCTAACAAAGTAGATCATCAAGTCAGTGAGTTGTTGAAGCACTGCAAAAAGGAGTAGAAAACCAATGCAGGCAGGTGCCTTTCCAGGGTTCAGACTGAAAATAGACACCGAACTGATGAGATTTTTCAGGAAATTCCAGGTTCTTCTCCTGACTGACAGCCTCAGAATAAACACAGCACGAGGACACTATACTTGGCAAATCTCGAATATGATGGGGCAAATCTGTACTTATGTAGAAGCCTAGTTGCCACCACAAAGCTTTAGACTATTATTTTTAATTTATGAAAGATATCACAGATGATATAAAACATATATTAAAGTGGTAGCACTACTCTAAAATAAGTGAATTTCATCTATTTGTTTATATCATATTCCCAGAGTAAAATGCCACTGGTGAAAATGGATTAACAAAGGGCTGTCAATAATAACTAACAAAATAGATGCATGTAGGAAATATGAAGGGAGTATATAGATCTACGTGCAAACAGGAGAGAAATGAAATTGGAAAAACAACTCAGAAGGAATGAGATAAAACAAGTCTCCATTCTAATGGAATGCTGTTCCTCCTACTCCTGTCTTCCCAACCCAGATACATTTTCTGTGTCAAATAAATTGTATGTTAGCCCAGAATTAGTGCAGTCCTTTCTATGAGATATGCTCTTTACTGAACAGTATGCAACAGGTAACTTGTACCACTATTCAACTGGCTTTTATTCTGACCAAGTTCATCCAAATCTGGCTTGCTTTACATTACACAAATCTGGCTTTAGAGGGAAAGTTCTCACTTCTGCACAAATGCAATTTAACTAATATTTCACTTCCACAATATATATCTTCATTCATATCTGTACTCAGATTGTCAAAGACGCTGCACGCAGCAGCAAAACAATATTACTACACATAAGGCATACCTGGGTTTGGGCACTCTTTCATCAGGAACCGGTGTCCATGTGGAGTCTGGAGACTTTTGTTCTTTGAATCTCCCAGTGAATACACTGGCAATGTCAAGCATGTCATAGGCACAAACTGCAGAGCCAGGGATGCTGCAAAGTGATATTTCCCAGAAATTGTTACTCACTCTGCAGTTATGCATAAAATCTTGAGTGAAAAACATGCTGTATAGAAGTCTTCCTGTCACAGGCTACTCAATTCTGAACTCTGTAACCTCTGAGCATTGACAGGAAAAGCCAGCTCCATGGAAAAGACTGAAATGTACCAATCAGCAGACAGCTCCTGCCAGCATAATTTGTTTCAAAGCCTCTATAGAGAAAATTAATTGCAATAATCTTGAAAAGGGAACAGAATCTGGAAAACTCTGTGTATGACTGGTAATGCATGAGGAGTAGAAGCTACTCTCCTTTAGAGCTCATTATTTGGAAATTTAAGTTCTTGTAAGTCACAACATTTTCTCAGCATGAATTCTCACAGTCCCTGTCATGCCTCAGAAATACCTTGTAGACAGATCAGAAGTTGGAGCTGATCAAACGGGAAGTGTACTGCACTGTGCCATTTACATTTGCACATTATTACTCCATCCTCTTATAGCCTCATCTCCATCAGGTTTTCCCAGTGGAAAGAAGTTAACTGTGCTCAGCAATTTGCTTAACTCAATCACTCAGTGAGGTATAAAGAGCTTGCAGAAGCAAACACAATTGTATTTTTAGATGATAAAGTCGTACATTTGCAAGCAACTGCATGGTAACATTGTCTAAACATAATTACAACCTTACCTACTTACTTTCTGTAAAGCTTAGGATTTTCCCATGGTCACTCACTTGGAAGCATGAATTATTCATTTATCCATCTTTCACTTTTTACACATTAACTACTGTATTCATGTCTGATTTCTCTGCTTGATTTTATCAGATAAATAGCATGAACCGAACTGGCTGAACTCTTTCAATCCTGCTTTTAGCTAGTAGGCTATTACATACCAGAGAGAAAATGTAGGAACTGTAATACTGTTTCAGAGAATAAAGTTAAACTTATAAGGGTGCATAAATTGATAAGAAAATAATTGTTTGAATATTAAGAGATTCTGAAATGCTTATTACTGAATGAAACAACAGGTAGGAAGACAATAATAGTCCAACTTTGATCTCCACAGGTTGGGTGTTTATATGGAAGGAAACTTACTTCAAAGCTTTTCACTAACGTAATACTACACAGCGATAGTTATAAGGAGAGGCAGCCACTTGTATTTTGATGTAAGGGTCAGTCAGGGGTGTACTTTGCAGCAAACAAGACCACGTCCTAAGGCACAGCAACTCTTCAGATAGGTCTTGCATATTGCTAAATTAAGCACTAAATCAAAAACAATCCTAATATCTCCAGGCTTACTATTTAGATGTGCAGAGAACTGTCCTCAACATATGTTTCTGAAGTGATGGAGGAATCACTACTGAGAAGGCTGCAAAATCCTTTTCTATGGGGGATGGCAATTAGCAGGTCCATGGTGTCATAAAACAATATGGATGGAGGACTGTGGGTCACAGCCAAGCAAACTCTCATGCAATTAAAAGCCATCACCAGCTCCCACCCTGTCTGATAACAGATTGAACTGTGTCCATGTCAGAGGTAGGTCTGTTTTTGAGATTTCCCCAAGGTTACGTGTCTTCCTGTCATCTCTAATGCCTGGCAAAAAATGGTGCCTATAAACAGGATCTTGATTTTATAACCAAATACTTAGATTATAAAATGCGGGGTTTAAAGTAAATTATTTTTCATGACACACCACAGGAAACAGTAGCAGAGTAGAAAGACATCTCAATTTATAGGTAATCTCAGGATACAGTATATTTGCTGCCGCTGATTCTCCATTTGCTTGTTTTTATTAGGATATTTTGCATAAGAAGAGATTAACTTAATTTAAAATTTTATTCCATGGTGACAATTTTTCTCTTGAAGTTCCTATTATTTTGATGTCAAAAGAAGTGATTAAAAAATAGACGGCTGTGCTTACTCTCATTTGAATTCAGCTTTGTGCACGATCTTACTATGGCCAGGCTTTGACAAAAGGTGGCAAATGTGCAGTAAAACCAGATGAATTTCAGCAATAAAGTTCCCCTTTCAGCATTCAAGTATTACCCTGTGAATCAGCAATATATCTTTTAACTAGACTATGAATGCTTTTCTAACTTCTCATGAGATTCTGATAATTAAGATAGTTACTATTATAATAACTTCTGGAGAAACAAATATGATCTATAACAGCAATAAATTCTTAACATGTGAACTGAAGCATTTGGAAACTACATGTACAATGAAACAGGTGCTTGAGGAATTACTTCCCTTACTGGTCCCTCTTTGCTGTGTTACAGCTCTGCTTAAGCAAGACTGGGACTCCTGAGTGTCAATTCTGCAGCATGAAGACATGGTGATGTGGTGAGGAAGAGGAAGAGTTTTTGTTTAGCAGAGCTCCTCCTTTCCCTCCTGCTCTCAAAAAAAACCCATCATGGGTGCAGGTCCAAGGAGGTAAAAACTCATAAGACTGGCTGGCTAAGTGTGAGGAGTTCAAGTCATCCCTCTATGAAAACAAATGGCCAGAGAAGGAATTGACACACTCTGAAGTTCTAACCAGCCTCTCTGTTTCTCTTGTTCTGCTCTGGAGAACTTCCTCTGCCTGCAACAAGGCTGAGGTCCGTGGCTTTCCCAGGGGACAATATAAGAGCCAATAGAGATCCAGAGAAAAAGGATGCAAATGAGACAGACCCAGTCCTTTCTTCACAAGAAAGGAAAACTGTATTTTCTCTTTGTAATAACATTCTGTGAGTTATACTCTGCAAAACTTCTTGGCAGCTGGTCTGAATTATTCTCACGTAAAGAAAATGTCCAAGGAACATGTCCAGATAGTAAATGTTTGAAAGCTGTTCTAAATTATAAGATATAAAATGTAGTTTAAGCAATGCCAGAGTATCTTAAAATGAAACACAGACTATCAGTAAGTACATGGTACATAATAATTACACTGTATGAGCTATCACTTTTTGGATCTTTAAAGAGTAAGAAGAAACTGCAATGAAAAGTAAAACGTAAAGGAAACAAAAGATTATTGAGCCTATTACCTGTTATATGGAGTGGAGAAGGTTGCTAAAACAACATCCCGGCCATTGAAATGGATAACATCTGTAACTGCCTGCAGTATGTTGAAGTAGAAGTGTGAATCACCCGGAACTGAGCAGTTCAAACGAGCCTTGAGGAAGGAAGTCCACTGTTTTTCCAGCACTCTCTGAGATCCTCCCATATCATTTTTGCAAACCTGAGCCACCCTTGGGAAAACTACCTGGAAGGAGTATTGCAAGAATATTAGAGAAAATGAAATATTTAACTCAAAGACTATAGGAATTCTGCATTTGAAACATTTGAAACGACACAGCAAGGTGCTTAATTTAATCCCATGTTTCTATAATCTGTGACAATAAGAAACTGAGAAAAATTCAGCTTTGGAACAACATGTTATGGATGATAAGGCTGTGGCATTTAATATACAGCCATAAATCCTTCAAGAGATCTGTTCTCAACCCAAATAAAACTCATTTCCATACAGACTGCTTAGCTTTCTATTTCCCCAAACAATAGCACATTTTATATTCACAGTCTCTGCAACCCACACTGCCTGCTCTGACTCTTGTATTTTCAGCATTTAAAAGCTATGCAAATCTTGCTGGGCTTTTATTCCTCCCCTTCACCTTTGTGACCTTGGTCAGTTTCTCTGACTGCTTAGTCAGAAACCTATTGTGAAATTCACAAAAATGCAGTAAATGTTTAATTATTTTTTGAAGAATGGCAGACCACAGAATTTCTCCCCTTGATTACTCAAATTTAGATTTCCTAAAGACAAATACTGCCTTGCTTTAGAAATCATTTTAAAGCACACTGAATGTAGTATATTTGCCTTGTGCTTTTTATGATCGGGAAAAGCGATTCCAGCATAAGTCACCACTGTCAGAAACCACCCTGTTTCCTTTCAAGACAGTACAGTGTTTCACTCCTGCCCACCTTTTGGCTTGAGCCATAGGAAACTTCTCAAAATGATGACCCTGTCATCATGATTTATGGTTTTCATTTCAAGGTCATTCCTAATAGCACCAGTCCAAGAATAGCATATGTTTTTCTCCTCCTGAATGTCACTAAGTCATCTGAGGCAATGTTTTCACCCTTACCTTTCCCATGCTGTTGTACTCCACTGCTATTTCCCGGAAGAAGAAGTAAATATAATTGCCGTAGTCCACTGCTTGGACAAAGTATGGTTCTAGGAAAAAGACAAGACATTCCATGTGCAGCATATAGCATGCAAGCACTATGTGTGCAGAAAGAAGCATTCACATTAAGTGCTGAAAATTTAAACCCCATGTGAGGCAAGCCTGTCTAGTTTGCAGAACTGAGAGGAGCTCCTGCTTGGAATGCAGCACCACTGGGGGCCAGCCTGCAGAAAACTTCTGCAAGGCTGTGGAGTGTTTGCCACTGCACATCTGCACAGCATGGTGGGTAATGAAAGGCGAAGAGGCAATGTGTAGTGCATGCCTGGGGCTTCAAACACAGCTCTTTATGGCTGCAGGCTGTATTGGAGGGAATAACAAGCCATGTTAGTGTTTCTGCTCATACATGTCTGCAGCAACAAGCAAAGTGGGACTGCTAATGTCAACACCTGGCAAAACATTTCTGCATGCAGAAAAAGCCTTCAAACTATGGCTTAACTCACTGTTAAAATCACTCTAAATGTTAACTATTCATAACGCCTACGTGAAGCTAAACAGCACCATTCTTAACAATGAGGGCATTTAGAGCACACATTGCCTAATTCAATGGCAGCTGCACAGTACCTAGGGAATATAAAAGGAAGGCTTTGTGCAATATTCCTATAATTTTATTTTTCACTGACGAATCTTAATGTTGCAGGACAAGTTCTCCATCCTTCACGAAGCCCAGACTGGTAACTAATATGCTGCCAGGGAAGGGAGTGCTTCAGACACAGACTGAGCACACAAAGTACACTGAGCCCTGAAAATTCCAGCCTTTGCATCCAACAGCTGTAAATTGATGACTTCAGCTTGGAAAGCTCTTTGGGTTATATTCAAGTCTACTACCTCTCATTTTACATCAAGTCTGGTAGCTTGGGGTGGGGAGGAGAGGAAAAGCAGATAAATAGATCAGTGTAAGAGATGCTATTTAGCTCCTCTTTCAGGAATCCAGGACTGTCATCAGAGATGCGGCTTCTCCTTGTTTTGTTTGTTTATCTACCTTTCAACCACTTTGAGTCATGTTTCACTGTCCGCAGAGTTGGGCTTTCTCCAAGGCTCCGGTATATGACTGCATCTATTGCTAGGAAGTCGGTCACTGTAGCAGAATACAGCTTTCCCTCTGGGGAGGAAGAAAAGAAGAAACAGGGTGGGGAGTGGCAGGAATACTGTAATTACTTTTGCTCACTAATCAAACGAGAATCTTCTTTAAGAAAACTGATGTGAAATAATCCAAATAGGTAAATGGGATTGAAAATAAATTTTTAAACAGAGGTATGCTGTGGGAGAAGAAACCTCATGAAGCAGTTCTTCACCAGCTTAGCTAAGTCATACTAATCTGCCCTACCCAATTTATCCACAAATGTCTCTAGCTCAATGCTCATAAATTCCATCTGTGCATGTGAGCAAAATAAATATGGAGAAGCCTCAACAGAAATTAGTTTTAACCAGGAGAGAAAAACAGACAGGTCTTGGGGACTGCCAGCTAACTGGCACTTATTCGAGTTTTTCACTCTGTGAGTACTTCTGGGCCAAAGATCACTAGTTAAAAATTCAGTAGTGTGCAGGGAACTAAGGCAAAGCAGAGATGCGATGAGATGAAGGAGGACTGCCTACCCATGTTTCTCTTCTAAAATGGTGGTTTAAGTCATTTCAGCATGATTTATCAATTTCTCTGTCTTAAAGAATGCTGGAGGACTAAGAAAGTACTACAGACCCTAAGGACAACCGAAAGGTGCAAAACTATATGAAGGTAAATGCATGAGCTTTATCTGCAGTTTAAATTGATACTGATGGTCAGCGCTGTTCACAGGTCATGATAACTTGGTACTGATTTCCCTTCCCTTTCCAAGGCAGACCTTGGAACCATGGCGGCTGGTAGGAGAACAAGAGTCCAGCAGCTTGAATCCTGTTGTGTCTACAAAATATCAGAACAGCATGCATCTAAGATAACAGGTTTCCTGGGGCCTTGACGGTGCTTACTGCATGTGCAGAGAGCCCCTTATGATAAGGAGCTATTCTCACTGCATCTACAGTTAATGTTTAATTTCAGCTTGGGATTTAAAAATTATTTGGTAGCAGGACTTTTCTCCTTGTTCTAACCCTGCAATTCCAGTCATCATTTAATAACAGCCTTTTTTTCTAAGCAGAACTTGAAAAAAAAAAAAAGGAAATAAAGACAGATACTAAAAACAGTTTAAAATAGTATAAAAGGCTGAATTGTTTAGCTGTGGATGTCTGAACTCATGTTAATACAGTCACACATTTATTTTTTTTCCCTGACAAGTTGCAGAAGACCATGTGACTAATTACAATTCACACATATCAGCTAAAATAGCTACAAGCTGCAAGAAGAGCCATATTCTTGTAAGCGTTCCCAGCAGACTCAGATGAGCTGGATTTGTGCCCTAAACTGCTCTGAAACTGCATTTCACTGCACTCTGAAGTTATCACAGAGAGCAGTATGTATGCTGCATCAAACTAATTTTATGAAGCTAGGAGACTTACAGGGTATATTCAATAATAATTTATTGTGACACTACCATTTTCAGACTGAATCATCCTAAGAGCTAGTGCATTTATTTCTATATAAAAAAAAACAACACTATTTTCAAATAATGTGAGGACTTCTACATCCACAGGATGGGACTCGTCTCACCCAGTTCAGCTGCATGTAGATAAATGTTTGCATTACATTGGTTATAAATGCCTTTTCTGGCCAGTGTAGTGAATAAAGCATGCCAGACAGCTGATTCAGACTACCCCAAGGAGCAATCTGAGACACTTGGGATGCATCTTGTTTAGAAGGTGTGCCTTTTTCTCTGTGGGTTACGAATCACCTGCTACAATCAAAGAATTTCTAGTTTTATGATCTTCTGACTGTAATTAAGAAATTATACAGTATCACCGACATCATGACCACCATGGTTTTAAAACAAAAGACTCAATGGTATACTGTAGAGGGAGCAAGTAATTTTTTTTACAACTAGCTGTAAAATCTCTCCTTTGTAAAGCAGACCATGCCAGCTCAAATGCAGTAGCAGCTAATGCAGCACTTATGCCATGGACATGATCTTTAGTGGCTGCAGTATGTTCGAACTCCTACACCTCAACATCTTGGGAGGAATTGCTAAAGTACTTCCAGGTAAATACCCAGGCCCTGCTTGCAGTACACCTACTGAAAAGGACTGACGTTATCACAGGTGGTTTCTGTATTATCTTTATCATCTAATTTTACAGCCAAATGTAAGAGAAAATCAGAATGGTTTGCACTAATAGAAGTTCAACAGAGAAACAATTTAACTAGGAGTATATGAAGAGAAATACCAAAATATCTTTTCACAATCAACAGCTCAAACTAACAGCACTAATAAGTACTCACTATTTTACCTCTCAGAAAAAGCAGAATCAGAGTATTCTTCTGTATACAACCTAATCATTTACCAACAGGTCCTTTGTTTACTACAAGTGGTAACAGAACAAGATGTCTTCTGGTTTAAAATAAAATCACCTTTCCTTTCCATCTAGGAAAGGAGCCATCAAACTCTTTTTTTCTATCATGAAGACTAAATTAACTTCAGAGTTGTTAAACAGCATATCCTGCCTCTTCCTCATCAAAGTTCACATAAGCCTTGCCCTTGCCTTTCACAGCAGCAGGATGCAGCCAGAAATGGTGCCTCACTCTAGTCTGGCATTGTATTATTATGACTCCAGGAAACACTGAAATACTGAACCAAGAAACTGAGGCTTCACGCAATGCTGTTTGCGGTAGTGAAGCCAGTCCCAGACAAAGGCAAGGCTTCCTGTGCGTGTGAGTTCCTTATGGCCCTTATTTTTAGTTATTATCCACTCCCTCTGCTACCTTGGCATTTGGACTCAATGGCAAGCCTGGGCTGCAGGAAGGAAAGCAAAAGAGATTATTTCAGTCATTCTTCTTTACCCGCGAACAACGCAACGTTGGCATGCTTTGCATCGTAGGGGCACCTGGCCATTCCACTGAACTCATCACCCAGGAACTCCAGTGTATCCACCTGAAAAACAAAAGGGAGCTCCTCAGATATGGGAGCAAGACTTCTTACCCAGGACCAGGCTAATGGTAGCTTCATTTCTGGGCAGGGAGCAAAGCCCTTTCTGCAACTGCCCTCCTGGCTATGAATGAAGAACATGACAAAAAACACAGTGTTAAATAAAATCAGGCTGAAAAATGTGCATCCAGTAAGTCAGGCACTCTTTCAGGCCTAATCACTCTCACTTTTTACACACATTTTACAAAAGTTCTTCAGTCAATATTTTATCTGCACACAAGCTTCCTGTTGAACTGCAGCAGGCTACGTGGTCTGTGGTTCTGGCATGGATTCAAAATATATTCTCAACAGTGATCCAACAGAAGCGCTTTTATACACAGCAAAAGACTGCAACCCATAGCAGTCAGAAGAAACAACACTAGGACAATTATGTGTGTGTGTGCATTTCTCCCCCCAAAGTCCGGAGATCCTTCTGGTCTAGTCACAAAAGCGGTGCCTCTTCATACTTAGTAGGATGCCCTCCAAGCATCAGTTGAGGCTGTGTTATGGAGAAATCCTCTTACTATCAGGCAAGAATTAATCTGTGCAGAAATTGTAAAATCTAAGGCTTAAGTGTAACTCCTGGGAGACAAATTCACCCCAAGCACTGGTAATTATACAAATACACAGATCAACTTTACAGTAAGTTCAAGAGGGTTTAGCAAGCTCCGTGGGAAAGGTACAGCTCTTACCTGCTTAAGATTTTTATACAGCAGTATTTTGGGAATAAGCATCTCCCTAGCATACTCAAGGAACATGATGAGCTCACGCTATGTGAACCACACACAATACAGATTCACAGAGCATGAAAAATAACCCATCTGGCAGCATCAGCTACTCCCACCAGCTTCTAGGTTGAATGTTACAGCACCTAAGTCCTCTGGTGGATGATCTGTCAGCATTCATTTTCTGTCATGTGCCTTTTCTGTTCAAATCCATTGTGAAGGGAATTAGTTGTGCTTCCTTGAGGACAGAAAACACTACAGATGATATGGAGGAGAAATGCAGTTCTGTGCAGCCTTCCCTATACTGAGCCTTGTACTGCAGGCTGGTCTACACTTTCACCTTGTGCGTGGAAGGATAGCCCTGTTTTCCGTTAGGCACAACTTTAGTGATCTCTCTCTGTAACCCAGTAATAGAAAAAAAGCCTGAGGAAGTGTCAAGGTGACTTCCTCTGACTGCCTGGGTACAATGCAGCTCAGTGACAGGTGAGGAAGCCCGAAGGGGCCATGTGTTGTGGGGAATGAAACACCTGCAGCAGGGGTCAGGAGAGCCATTTATGCCAACGAAATCTGCATTTGTGTTCAAAGGCGGCTTTCTAGCAAGGACAGCTTGAGCATGGGCCATGAAGCAGTAAAATGGTGCTGGACTACTGAATATCACCCTGAAGCCAGGAAACCTAGTTGCACACTAGGAGCAAGATACAAGGAGAGGAAGAATAAGACAGACAGAGGTTACAAGAACACCAGCTACCTGTACCAGATGCGTGATGCAAGCTCATACATGAATAAATCTGATTCTTCCTCTAGAGACTGAAATAAAAGACTATGCTGAACTTCTCTAATGCATTTCCTAGACTATAGACAATACACTGGCTAAACAAAGTAAATCAGCACTGCAGAAAAAGCAAGGAAGAGCAGCAGTCACAGTGAATACCACTACAGAAGCTGCTTTCCTCAGTGTTAATGTCTTTATACTATTTTTCACTTTGACAGCACTGAAGAGAATAAGAATTCTCTGCTGTGGTTTTGTCAGAAGAAGCACTAGTGAAGCTGAATATTCTTTTTTTCTGAAGGATAAGAAATAACCTGTGGGACATAGCAGAGCCTGAAAAAGCAGAGCCCAGATACCAAGGCCTAACTGAACTAATTTCACAGCTACTCCAAAGACATCCACTGATGAAGGTTGTATGACATAGGATTGCTGCAAGCCTAAAAAAAATGGGAAATATTTGAATAGATGGCTATGGAGTTGAAAGATGTACTGCTGAACAACACACTTCATGCTGTGCCAGCACTGTTACAATAAATCCAACAGAAGAAAAGGTCATAAATGAAATCTCACTAACAGATCGCATACCTTATAGTTCCTGCAAGAAGGGTTGAATGCATTTGTTCCACAGATAAACAGTGTATCTTCGTTTCTTTTTAGGAGAACCTTAATGAAATTATGGCATTCATCCTGAAGAAAAACAACAGAAAGTATTTAAGCTACTCTACTTGGGTGTCTGGTTTTATTTTCTCAGTGTGATCTTTCACTGTCAAGTCTAAAATGAAATTGGCTGGTAGTTACTGCAACATTCTAGGCTTTATTTCAACTGTGTTTTACTGACAATGAGTGAGATGCAATTTATTTCTATTCTGGTGGTTAAAAATGGTTACAAAGAACAGAGGATATAATTTCCATGTTGTAGTTCAGATTTTGCTGTTAGCTTAGAATTTTGTTTGAACACTGTTGCTTTCCTCAGGAGTGAAAAATCTGATCATCGCATCCGTGCTGCTGTAAGACAGTCTCAGTGTATTTGCCTAAAGCAGCTGTAACAAGCAGGGGACGTTCTACAAAGAATCAGAATCAACATCTAACTCTGACCTCATGCATGTTATTTGTGTTACACTAAGGGAAGACTAGTATGAGAAACAATCCTCTCCCTACACGCTGACATGTCATATAATCTTTCTGTAAGCCCCTACAGGAGATGGACCACAGCACTTAGCTTTTGAGGTGATGTTAACCTAAAACACTATACTTGGCATGATGTTCAAAACCTCCAGTGCTCTAAGCTTTTCAGGATGTTGCTGTGCCTCCTGTCGTAATGCTTTATCACATTAAAAGTAAACTATTTTTTGCAAATTAAAGCTTTCAGTGGGCTGATGGAAAAAGCAATTACTGGCAAAGAAGTGAATGGCATGATCCATTCCACATCACAGACAGCAGCCTGAGATAGTAGTGAAGAAACTAAACTAAAGTGGCAGATGCAAAAGAAATGAAAATTGCCTACCTTATGTTTTCCCTTCATTCTGCATGTGTCTACATCAGTTTGTCTAGATTTCCATGTCAATTTCTGCAAGGATCAAGAAAGAAATCAATTAGAGCCCAGAGGTTGTTGCATTTGATTTCAGAAGTAGAAGTCCCCTGGGGGAGACTAGCTGTTGAACATATACTCATTAAAAGCATTCTGCACCCTTTCTTCATGATTAATTCGCTGTAACAATGAAAGATCAGTGATGTGAAGCATTCACTTAATTTTGTGTTGCTATCTATTCATTAGACCAGGAACCTATACCCCCTTTCCCCCCCCACCATTTTTTTTTTCTTTTAAATCCTAAGGCAACTGAATTTTGCAATAGGCTAAAACTTATAAGTACTTTTCCAAAAGCACTAGATGTTCTTTTCTTTTAATTTAATACTATTACACAAATCAAAATAAACATTTATGGACTGTATATCCTGATTGGAATCTTAAGTGGAGTATCTATTCCAGGACATTTTACATTAGCAAAGAAATTATAGTGAAGGCAATTCTCATCATTTCAAGTTAGCTAGCAGTCTGAGAGAGTGCTCTGTTTATCAAGATACTGCTGATTTCATCTACCAGCATTCTTTCTCTGGAACACTTTCAAGTAAATTCCAAAAATGCCAACCTCCTTTTTTTTTTTTTTTCTTTTCAATGAATTCAAGAAATGGTTTAATGTGGTAGGTTGATTAACTATAATAAATATTTATTTAAAATGTGGCTTAAGATAGTAGTAACACCTCAGACATTATTCTTCTTCTGACAATAGTTCCTACCCTGAGTCACCCTCCATTCACTGAGGGCCCTAAGATGAATAAATGAGCATGAATGTAATAACAGTATTGCTTTTATTTCCATAACAAGCCTGTGACCTCCCTATTTGAAAAGCAACAAGACATAAGCTAATCTTCAGCACCTTTCATTGGCGTATCGACAAATTCTCCTCTCCTACAGTGGAATCTATGCATTGGCCAAACTGATATGGTCTTCTGCTGGACCAAAGGCTATGTCTGTCACTTATTACACAAAGTGAGTGTAATGTGAAAGAGCTGAAGGGAGATTATTTCTATAAAATTTATGCTCATATGCAACGCGGTAATGCAGATAAAGCTCTTTTTCATTTAAATGCATCTTGCCATGGAGATAATGTGGATACATCTACAAAGTGCTGCTATGGTAAGATTTTATTTACAGATTTATGTACAAATTTCTGTGCAAATATGTTAATAGCGTTTGCTTTTTATGATGAAAGCTTCAGTATATTTAATTGGAATAGTATAACCATTATACATAGGTTGCTCCTGAAGTAATGCCTCCTATTTTTTCCATGGAAACAACAGATACAAACAGCACAATAAAACTGTTTGATAGATCAAATTCTCTGCTACAAAACACTTTTTATCAACATAGTCATCAGTAGTAAGTGATTCATATCAATTAGATGATGAAGACGCTCTTCATTTTGTGGTTTGACAGCTGCACATGGCTATCTAGAACACGACTTATCTTTCATGTTCCTGTTTGCCTTTGCTGAGACACACCATCCACCACCTTACTGTGCTGATATCCACTGTTTGGTCTCCATTAATGTTCAGCAAGTGTTGATGAATGCCAGCAGGTGCTATTTTTTCTGCGTGGAGGAATTCAATTCCACACCCTTGCTCTGTACACAATTCCATTCTGTTAGAGTACCCCTCTGCTGCCATTCGACGAATGGCAACAACATGGAATGGAATATTGGTGGGGAGGTCCATCCTTGACTGCTATACAACCAACAACTGTCTTTGACACTGTGGGCCAATATGATTAAAAAGAAGGAGTTATTTTTGGAGCATTACCTTCAGTTTCTGGAAGATGATAAAAACTACTTACTTTGCTAAAATAAATTTCTTCTGTATGTGATGTGTCCATATCAACAGTATAAATATGGTCCCTGTAAACAAAAGCAAATGAATGCAGAGTCAAAAGGTGTAGTAAAACCATTCATTTTCCATGAGGAGACATATCTATGACAAGATAATCCATAATTCTTTCAATAAAGGATCATAGATCTTACCAGGGAACATTACTGACAGCATTACCTGTTTCTCCCAGAAAAGCACTTCCATATATAAACTATATTTCCTTTCTTTAAGAAAAAAGAAAAAAAAAAAGGAAATTTTACAATACTTCAAAGCAAGATTATCTCCTGAAATGGATTATATGAACAATTAAAATTTTGGACGGAAGATGAGCCTTATATAATTTTATAATTTCTTCTCAATAGGACTTAGAGCTAATGCCAGAATGCAGATGTTTTTTCTGTATCTGAAATCAGTTGCAATCTGTGGTAGCCTTTGTCACCATTCCGGGCTAGCACTCACTGTGCAATATTTAGCCATTCTGGGTTAAAAAAGAGGGTAATTTTTTTTTTTTTTTTTTTTTTTTTCCTAATTTCAGATGTAATAATTTGGCTGACAATATGCTAGCCAAAAGACTGACAACCACACAGCTCTTCCCAGGAATCCTCTCTTCACATACCAATAGCCAAACCAAACTGTAAAATACTCCTCTCAACAAAATCCACATTTCTTGCTTGCATTTGCTTTCCTGTTTTTCTCAGAGCTTGCTTCTCCTTATAATTAGCTGCCAATTTCTCTTAGGAAAGAGTAAATAGACTCAGTCACTCAGGTAGAGAGATATTTTTAAACATCCTCTCCTGCTACTGGGAACACGGACATTTCTGTATGGAGACTACGAAAAAGCACAACCCACAGCACCATACTAACGGCCACGTGAATTTGGGAATGAAGATAGAAGAATACTGAGCATCACTTTTTTTTTTTTTTGGTAAGCAGCACTGACTACTTTTAACAATGCAGGAAGCTATGCAGATAGTGAATGATCTGTGGCACATGAGAGGTTTACATAGGAGTCTGCAGAGAGCAGGATACAGAATGCTTCCATTTTGGAAATTTCTGCTGTTAAGCCTAGCTTCACTTCTTTGGGTTTTGTGTAAATAGTGCTATCTCTCAAGCAAATCAAACACAAAACACTGCCATAACAAGAATTAGCAACACTTCCCTCGCATGGAGAAAAAACGCAGCATAGTTGGAGGGAACCTGCTTTTAAAAACCTCCTGCCTGCTATGACACTTGAAGTTATTTGCTGCATAAGATGCCAAACTGAGGAGCTGTGGGTTTCCTGCTCCTCCAGACTCTGAAAAAACAGAACTGTCATTTTCTTTCAAGATGAGTTTAATGCCTCAGTTTATTATTGGCCTGATTTCACTGGCATAGCAGTGGTCAGGGCTGGACTAAAATTACCTATTAGTTTGGTATCATCTTCACAGATGATACCACACAGCTCCCTTTTAATGTACCTCTCTAATGCTGTTACTCCTACTACATAAAAGTGAGAACAAAGTCTCTTGAATTGCAAATTAGGTGCTGCTGGATTTCTAAAACATTCTTCCAGCACAGCTCTTGATTGTAATGATCAGTCTTAGTTTACATGGGGTATGATTTTTAGTTTTGAAACAGGACAATTAAAAATACAGTTGGGGTATTCAAAAAGAGGCTCGAGTTGTTTAGCTTCATGCTCCATAAAACATCTCCCAGGGGGCTTACTTTCTGGTTTAAGAAACAGCTGAAAGGAAAATCATATGCTAAGTTATGGGATCATCAAAAGGAGGGTCAGTATCAGGCAAATTACATATTACTTTCTCATGCTGCATTTGAAATAAAGCTGCCGACAATGCCAGCAGAGAAGCAAAGTGCTGTCAGATGGTGGGGAAGGTTCTCCAGCCACAGACAATACAGGATTGTCCGTGCTCTCTTTTTCCCATTGCTGCCCAAATCCTGCTATCTACTAGCTGTGATATGTGTACAGCTCGTTGCTAATTAAGTTATTCTAACACAAATTGACCTAATCCTAGAGCTTCCGTTTTTCCCACCTCCAGTCAGCAGAACTGAGTTTTGTTGCCATGGCATGGTCTTGCAGAGGAAGGGAATTTAAATAATGCCACCGGCTGTGCGTGACCCTTGGCCACTCAGAAAATGTGTAACAGCAAATGAGGAGGGAGCTGTCCCGATGCTCCACAAGCTCAGTAAACTCTTTCGTACACACACAAGGATGATAGATAAAGTGGACAAAAGCGGTCACCACACAAGACACTGGGAGGAGGTGGCATGGCAAAAAAAGCCTGTATTTGTGAATGTGTGAGAGATGGCAAGATGTTAGCCTTCCCATGAGAAAAAAGAAAACAGCTGCTCGTATACAGACTGTACCTCAGGCATCCTAGCTGCAAACCAACATGGTTTCAGGAACTTTGGTTGAGTCATGTTAATTTATCTCTGTCTGATAATACAAAATAACGCCTTTCCAAAGTGACATAGAATTATACTTCAGAGTAGTCAACACAGAAATTGCACACCCATATGACAAAAGTGACAAACAGACAGAAATTACTCTCTTTCTCAGTCAATCGGAAATAAAGTTTCACCTGAGTCTCTCTTCTCATCCTAGAGGAGGCTGCCTGTAAAGCAAAGCTATGTTTTCTAAAACAAGCACATAAACAAGAAAAAAAAAAAAAAAAATGTCCACAACAACGGAAACACCAAAACAAAAACTGTCAACGTGTAATTGTTTGTTTTGACTGCTTTTCAGATAATGGTACAAATGTAAATTTAGCATGACTATATTTTGATGAGTGAAAAAATGGTATGAAAGCAACACCTGGTATGATATTTAAGGGATTTATGTTAGCTGCAATTATCTTGCTATCAAACTCTTTGAGAATCAACTTTGATTGTGTACATGCTTGCTTCAAAATTTATACGTATACAATCTCTAACTGTATTACTGCCTCTGAAAGAGATGCAATATTGCAATTGTAAAACCTCATTCACACTATCAAAAGATGACTCATTTTCTGAAGTTTATAACTTCAGATAAAAATTACCTTAGAATTTTAACTTATATCACACAAGTTTCTCAGCCCAGCAGAGATTTTATTCAGTAGCATGTGGAGGGGGAAAATAACATACCAAAGGGTGTCTGAGGACCAAAGGAAAAAAATGTAAGATTTTTTGTGCATGTGTAAGTACAAAAGAGACTACATCTTCATGATTTTTTTGGTAGGTGAGTAGGCTCAAGGAATATAGGAATATAAGAGCATTCTCATTATGGTAAAATGTATTATACAAATGCATAGCTACAGAATATGTAAGAGTGCATAAATGTACACCAATACATATTCTCCCCCATGTATTTTCATTTTTTATATAACCTGTGCAGTAGTTTCATATACCAAAATGCTTATGCGGGTTTTCTTGCTGTAAAGCTGGTTGCTTGGGCAGTACAAGTCTAATTGTGTCAATCTTTCATTCTGGGAACAAACTATGAGTACAGCAGGGCAAAATCCACTAAAGCAGATTTACCACCTTCTCCCTGCAAATGATTTCCTCATTTAAAGGAAAACAAACAAGGAAAGCAAAGGGAAATCAGCTTTGAAAAGGAGGAAATCCTGCCACCACCTTCGAAACATTTTCAGCCCATCCCCTGCCCTTGTGTGCTTGTTATCACACTGGAAGCGGCAGAAAAGCCATGCCCTGAGCTGGGGCCTCACAGTGGGGCCAGCGCCTCACTGCAAAGTGAACCTGAATCCCTCTTGGAGGAAAGGAACCATGGTCCTGTGTCCTACAGCCAGTTCTAGTATTTGACCTACACACTTTGCCAGGATTGAATGCAAGGAGAAAATGAGGGGCGGGTCCTGGTCCCCTCTGGGAGAAGGAAGCAGTTGATAGTCTGTCCGGGGACACCAGGAAAAAAAGCAGTATTGAAAACAGCAGAAAACAAACTGGCAGTAATCAGAAAAAAGGAAAAAAAAAAAGTGTTCTCGCTTAAAAATGTCAAACTCTGCAACACTTTGGTTTCAAATCCTTATCCCTTGCTGTTGCTTTGTGGAATAAATGATATGGTTGGGGAAACTAAGGAAGGAAGGAAGGAAGCGAGCAGGGCATGGTATTAAGCTAGAGCCCCAAACTTTGGGTGCACATGGATGAAATGTAAAGTGAAGTTTGTGAGAAGCCTGAGGAAGCTGTGCTTGGGTGAGCAGTTAAAAGTGCAGTTTTCAAGCACCCAAAGAAACAACCATGTAAAAACAGCACCAGTGACTTAGCTGCTGTAAAGCAGGAATTACTCTCTATCACAGGCCACATCTGGTTGTACAGAAAATGGGAAGGATCTGATTGATATGAAAGACAGACAGCTCCTGGAGCCTTGGGCTCTGAGGACAGACTAGTGGTGAGGGGCTGCCTGTTCAGCAGCTGTTCCTTCACCTGCGGCCATCCCACCCACCACCTCTCCCATCTGCAGAAACAGCCTGGCCTTCTGTAGCTTGCAGAAGGCTGCATATTTCTGAGGAGCAGAAGGACCAGAAAAATGAAAGGAAATAAGCTTCTCCTGGAGGGGCAGCTTTCCCAAACAGAATCTGGGTCCAAGAGCACCTGAGCTGGGCTTCCGACCCTTGCTAATTTTGGCCCTTCCTGAATTCAACCTGTTTCCATCAGGTAGCTCCCACTTGGGGATTATCAGCCTCCTTTGCTAACAACAGGAGTGGAGAGGAAGTTTCTGTTGGGTCTGTGCCAGGCAGGCAGCTGTATAAATCGGTGTAGTGCCACCAAAGCTGGTAGTGCTACGCTGAGCTAAATGAGTGGCTTGACATGCAATTTTTATAAAGAGGTATTTGTATCTGCACTGAGTAGCAGTCCAAAAAAAATCCAAAACACCAAATTCAATTAACCTTTCTGTGTACATCAACAGAACAGCAGCAAAAATGTGTTTCTCCCCCACCCCCACCTTTTTGTTGTTGCTTTGTGGTACTGAAAATAAGCCTAAACTAAAACATTAAAGTTTAACAACTGTTATTCAAACATGCATTTGTGCACTAACAGAATCAGTCTCTAAAACGTATAACTAATTGTGTGTACGAGTGAAATTACAGAATGAAGATGGATTCTCTCCTCCATGGCGCCAAACAATCTTGCAAATTCTTTCTTCCAAGACTCAGATGGAGGTGGAGCAATGGGAAAGAAGTCCTGAAAGGGATGGCTCAGTTTCTAGAAGAACTGAGCCTCAGCTGACTGACTAACAAAGTGTCCAATACATCTTACTAAGAGCCTGCAAACCTCTGTCTGAGTGTGAGAAAATCCTAAAAATAACATGCCCAGCAGAGAAAAACTCAGAATATCCTTCCTCTTCTCCCTCCCACTCTGTGAGAAGCAAGTGAGGAGTGGTGATGCCGAGGACTACTGACCTAGCAGCAACGTAGAGGGTTCTGTTCATGACCGTGACCAGCTGGATGTCCAGCCGATGCCTCTGCGTGGTGTTCCGTCCCGGCTTGTGACCCACAAACACCGGATACTGTCTTGTATCTGTGGGAAGTGAAGAAGAACAAGATTCCAGAGAAAAAGCAAAAGTCAAAATAGAATCACATGCTAACATGGCAATGGCTGAAATCTGTGGTTTCTCTTCTCCCAGCATCACAGCCTAGGGCGGGAAGGTACTAGCACAGAGGGCTAAGGCTGCAAAGGAGAGAGTCATTTTTTAGAAGACAAGAACTGTGAATTTCTTCAGAATGTAAAGCTACTCTAGAGCTCTTGGCACATAGGTACATGGCACTTTCTCACAGTTTTTCTTTCACGGCTTGCAGACTCTAAATGCTGGCTCCTGGTTGCCAAAGTGTATCTAGCAGGACAAAGCTGTTTTACAGTGGCCCATCAATCATCACAGTGACTGGATTAGTAGTGGTTAAAACAAAAGACTTGGCTCTGAATGGTTTGAATTGTCAGCTCAGTGGGATTTCCTACAGGACTGGACTGATATTGTAGAGCAGCTGCGGGGATTTCTGAGAAACTGTGGGTAACCACTACTCAAACTTTTTTAAAATGAAAGTCACTGCATATTATTTTGGCAACCAGTCTGATATTGCAGTTCTTCTGGAAACTGAACAATAATACTGACTGGAAGCCTTCTATTGATCTCATGCTATTGTCAAGCAAGCTTCTTTCCCCTCTCTACCAGTCAGCACAAGAATTTAGTGAATATTTTTGACAAAGAGCCACTTTGCAGTTAGGTTGCAAATGAATGCATTATCATGATGTCTAGATGCGACAACTAGGGAGCTATACAAGTAAATGCAAAGACAAGAGGCGAATAAATCTCTGATGAACATAATCATAATACAGAAGTGCCACCTCTGTATATTCACAGAAGCACAGACTGGCTGAGGGACCCCTGAAGGTCATTTGGTCTAATTCCCTGTTCAAACAGAGTCACCAGAGCTGGTTGCCCAGGACCACATCCAGGCAGCTTTTGAACATGTGCAAAAAGGGAGAATCCAGATTGTCTGGGTAGCCTGTGTAATGCTTAGTCATTACACAGATCTGACTAGATCAAGCCATACATGAGCCTTTTCCCCATCAATATGTTTCCTGAGAAAACTGCAGCTATTTGAGGGAGCCTGATTCTTCAGAAACTCAGTTACTGCACTGATGTTTTTCAGCAATTGTCCTCTAAAAGTATTCTCTCTGTCAAGTTTGATTGAAGCACTGACTTTGGCAGCACAGCTTTGGCAAAGCTGTTGAGAACATCATGTGTGAGAAAGTCTGTAAATCAGATGCTGAGAACTCTTTGGGAAACAAATTAATAGAGTCCAGAAGCCTAATGCTTCTGACCAAGATGTGCAAAATGCCAACTTCTAACTTTCAGGTTCTTCTCTATTCAGTTCTGTTTCCTCTGTAGGAAGTCACTGATCTAATAGAAGCTGGGGCTTGCATATTCACATGCATTTCAGCGCACCATACTGGAGAGAATTTATCCCATGTTTCACACAAACAATCAGCATAACCATTTGGAAGGTAAAAATGTTGCTGCTGAAAGTCTGATGGTCACCCTAAATAAGTTTCAGTAGGGTTTTCTACAGTGTAATTCTGCCCTGTTCCAGTACCACAGATGTCTACTAACAGCATATCAACTGGCAAGATCTGTCTTCCAGTTTAGTGTTTCCCAAGACAAACAAGCCTCTGGGTGTCAAGGCCAATGCAAAGCATAGTAGGCAAGGACACTCAGGAGAGTTATGTCAAAATCAAATTCCTGGTCCAAAGTAGATTTAAATATGAGTTATAATTGCTAACTTGCTGTTTCTTAGCACACTTTTACAGACTCACATGCTAAGTACTTCCTATTAAATATCTCAAACTTTGGGACTTCAGAGTACTTTTCTCTGGAGTAATTGCAATTCAGTTGTGGCAAATGTGAAGAATCACTTATGTTAAATCTGACTTGCATGGTAAAATCCATAGAAAGCTCTCCACCTGTTTTGTCAGCAAATCTCAATACTGACTTGCAGCTGTCTGTGTGACCCTTGGTTTTGGAGACTTTGCCAACAATTGTTGGTTAGAAAGAAGAGGGTTTCTGTTACAAAAGATTCTTTGTCTTATTAAAAAAAAAAAAAAAAAAAAAAAGAATCTACATTTCTAGCCAAAAAGGCCAAATGCTAAAGTGGAATACAGCAGAGTTCGAAGAACTAAGATTGGTTATTTGTACTAGCTCAACCAATTATATTTTTAAGCTCTTAAGTTATTTTTGTGTGCTACTAAGAGGAGCCACTGGTTATCCAGACCTACAGTTTCACAGGGCAGGTGAATAACTACTTGATAATGGAGGGGGAAAAATGTTTCCTTCACCTGCTTCTGGATAAAACAAATATGTGGTCTAATTTGCTATAAAAGGATCTGTTTGAGGAGGAAAAAGGTTACAGCTTTGGAGAATCAAACAGCCCACCATCCAGCTGTCATAAGTCAAGATAAGACGTTCTTGTTCTTATTATCTGAGAATGTAAATTGGTTGATCTGGGAGGGATGAGAAAAAACAACGTTATTTATTTACAGCATAACAAAATACTGTCAATTTGAAGTCTACTGATTACTTCTAAGCAAATGAAGGCCTCTTATACTTACAGTTGCCATGCGAAATACTGATCGGCTCAGAATCTTCTGGGAAACCAGCCCCAGCAAAGTGTAGCAGTGTGAAATATAGCAGCAAGGCTTCTGACCTCATAGTAGTTCAGCTGGGAGACTTTACTTCTTCACTTCACACTGTGGAAAATAAACAGAGGCTTTAAGGGATTCAATTTCAATCAATGCACAAAGAGATGCAAAAAGCATCAACAGAAAGAATCATATTTGGAAAAGACGTTCAAGATCATCAGGTCCAACTTCCAACTACGTTTCTCAAATACCTTTAGGGATTGGGATTCCACTCTCTCCCTCAGCAGCCTGTTCCAAAACTTGCCTACTATCTCTGTGAGAAACTCTTCCTAATGTCCAGTCTATACCTCCCCTGGTACAACTTAAGACTGTTTCCCCATGTGCTATCAATGGTCAACTGAGAAAATAGACCAAAACCCTCTTTGCTCCTTTTGAATAGATAGAGAGAGCAATAAGGACTCTCCTCAGCTTCCATTTCTCCAGACTGAACAGCCCCATTTCTCTTGATTATTACATATATGTCTTGCTTTCTCTTTTCTGTGTGTGATTGAGCAACTCGCTATCTTTCTTGCAGTGAGTGGCCCAAAACTGAAGACAATAATAGAGAGAGCTTTCCATCTCCTCAAGCCTCTTTCTGTAACTGAGGAGCAAAAGAAATTGTCCAAGCAGGCCATTTCCCCTCTAGCCCATACCCCAGCTCCATGCTGCAGTGGGTTCTTGGTTGAAGACAGGCTTTAGCATCTGTGTAAGCTGTTTATATGCAACAGAGAAACTTCAGGCCCTGCACTGATCAATAGCCAACATGAGTTTTACAGCAAATACTGAGACTGTACACTCTTTCGTTTGTGTAATTAGATGATGACATACACAATAAATAACTAGAAAACACACTACATTATTCTGGTTAAGAAGAGATTGAGGGTTATGCTTCAGGACTGATTCATATCCTGTGGAGCAGTGAATCAAGTGAAGAAACATAGAAAGAGCTTGATGGAGCATGCAGAACATGTCAGTGGGCTTTGGCAGAAAAATATGTACCCATAAATTTAGATGCCATAAAACCAATACTCCAACATGTGATAAAATAGGGGAGAGGAGAACTGTCTAAAACCAGCATTTTTCCCTTGCGTTCCACCAATGCATTCACTCATTTACATTTCATGTACAAAAATATCCCTAAATCTTGAATGTGAAAGGAACCACAGGAGCCTTTAGAAACAGTGAAAGAAAACACTGCATAATACAGTAAATAGCTCATAATTCCCAGGCAAATTTCACACAGGCATTGATCTGTAGGGAAAATCGGGGTAAAAGTGGGGTTTTCTTTTCATCCTTCCAGAGTTTTAAACCTTTGATGCTATCTGCCAAAGATTCCTTTTGAATAAAGGAATTTTTACAGTAGTCTGTCAGTCACTCCACATTTACGGGCAGAAAGTCAAACTTCATAACCTACACAGCCTTTGAAACTTAATTTGGAAAACAATGTGCTAACTTGCTCTTCTAAAGCATCATTTAATATTAGATAACAATGTCTCCTTTCTACCAAAAAACAAAGCAAAACAAAACACCAAAAAGGGCTTTACACGTCTTCAGTGTTACATTTTCATTTGTAATTTCACAGACATAGCTGATTTCTCATCTTATATCCAATTCAAAATGTCACAATAATTAATTTCCCTTATTATATATTTGCTTTTAAGTAAATTTTCTGCTCCTCTAACTACACTGGAATAGAAAATCTGTTGCAGTGCAATATAGTTCATAAGGACAAATGATTTATTGTATTCTGTGACTATTACTCAAACACAAATTGGAAACTTGGCTGATTCTCTCTGTCTATTAAAAAAGTAACTGAGACTGAATTAAGCTGAGACTAAAGAAAAAAAATCTAATGTGAGGCAATGACTGACATGAGCGAAGTGTCAGCGTGATGGCAGAGAATTAAAACAGCAACAATAAATACAGCACAATAGAGAAATGTCTGTCTATTATACCTTATGTGAGAATGCATGGTGGGAGATAGCACATGCAAGCCCCAAGAGAAGCCTTTCTATCCAGCACTGGCTGGGTAGTAGCTGTGTGTGATTACTGACACAGTTACACCTGCCTGCAGATGCTTTCTTTGCCTTTTTGCTCCATTTGTCTCTTTAATCACCTTTTACATTTTGCCTTTACTGCTAGTACTCCAGTGCACAAAGTTTCTTTCCATTTCCATATCCAGTGAAACCTCATTTGGGCTCCTTGGGGATGCCCAAAGTACAAACTAGGAGAAGTAAATACAGTACTTTGAAATAGTTCCTTTCCAAAGGTTTGAATTAGAGCTAAGACCCACATTAGGTGGTTAATTTCTTTCTGTTCACACAATTCTTTGAAGTGTAATTTTGCCACCTTTGAAATTCTGCCACTGGAAAGTGACTAAACAAGGTATCCAGTATTAACACAAAAATAAATTTGAATTATTTTCTTGAAATTATTGCAGTCCAGTGAAAAACTATATTCTGAAACGCACATGACCTTATGCTTATTTAACGGGAAGAAACTTATTAAGCAATTCAGTTCTTCCTCTTGAGCCTTATTCACTCACAGCATCAGCCTGCAGGATGGCAATCCAGAGCACCTTGCTCACAGTGAGCCTGACTCTGGAGGAGAACAGCTGCTTGCTGCTACTTCCTGTCAGCACATCCTCTGTTATCTATGTGTTCCTACCAGGAAGGCATTGAGGTGCTATATGCATACTGTTGCCACTTCAACCTACAGCCTGAAAAACTTTTCTTGTGGGTGATTTTAAATCATTACTCTCTTCTTCTCATTAAAATATGCTTACTATTTCACCTAAATATATACCAGAGACTGCTGACAGGCAAGTGAACAGCATCTAACAAACTTACGGTCATTTTATGTACAAGTTATTGGACCAAATCTTTTCTCTTTTACCTGAAAACTATTAGCTAACAAATGAGCTGTTATATGCCTCCTAACAGAGATTAGATCAGTAGGTTCTGAATATGGAATTCCCTCTCACTCTTAGGGGTACCTCCTGTGGAGGAAAAGAGAGGAGGAGAAAAAGAAGAGCAGTTCTCTGTTGCTGTAATATTAACATTCTTGTTGGAATTCACACAAACCAATGCCAAATGCCTGCTTCTATCTGCCTGCATTTGGAGTAGACTGCAAATCTGTATCAGTATCTATGTCAATTTAAATAACACTGAATAGAACACAAGCTACACCTAAGGTAAGTTTTTGCAAGAAAATTCAAGCGTAGTGTTATTTTTGCTGTTCTTACAATGGTGGAAAGATCTGCACAGTCAGAGTGGAATTTCAGAAAAGTGCTGATTAGAGAAGGTTACACTTATTTTTAGGATGAACATCCTTTTCAGCAAGTCCTCAACTCTGGTTGGGCTCTTGGGAGTGATGCAAATGTTCTCAAGTGCAACTGTGCGTAAGCACTAATAAAAAAGGCTTCTAAGCACAGAGGTGGAGGAAGCAAGAGTAGATATGTGGTGATGCTGGGCGAGTGCAGGTACCATCTCAAAATAAACATTTTGTATATGACCGTGGAGAAAACTTCAGTCAGTGTAAACCACTATAGTTCATTTTGACTTTCACTAAGCCATGGCTGCCCAACCTTTGGACTTGTCTGGACTACACCGGGTGAAGAGAAATTGTCTTGGGCTGCATATATGTAGACTGCTCCAAAAGTAATGCCTCCTATTCAGTTCTAAGGAAACTACAGTTACAGTCAACACAGTAACTATTTGGAGCACATTCTCAGATACCAAACACTATTTTTCATTATAGTCACCACCATTAGCTATGTGCTTTTTGCCACTGATGAACAAGTGGCTGCACGGCATACTCATCAAAATCTGCTCCAAAGTAGGTGACACACAATCACTGTTGTCACTGTTGAAAGATGCCACCCACCACTGTTGGTCTCTATAAAAACTCAGAAAGTGTCAATGAATGTCATTGGGGGGCCACTTTTTCTGTGTGAAGGAATTCAATTCCACACCTTTGCTTCATACACATTTTCATGCGAGAAGTCCATCTCACACAGCAAAAGAATTAAGGAATATTGGTGGGAAGGTTCAACCTCTACTGCCATATCACCAACATCCACCTCTGATTTTGCGGGTCAATATGATAAAATAGAAGGAATTGCTTTTGGAGCAGCCTTTGTAAAATGTATAAAACACTAAATGCATATAAGTGACAAAGTTTATTTTAACTGTTAATATTTTTATCAAAACATTAAGAAATGAGAGCAACAAAAACATAGAACTACTGGGACATTTGACCATGTTTTGATGTAACTATGACATCACTCTGTTCCAATGGCAGTGGTTCCAATTCTTGGTGTGTTCTCACAGTGTTCATCAGAGATTTTTGATGAAATTTTACTCTTCCTGTACTATTTTGTCCTTGATAGTAATTATTCAAAATGCACACTGCTAAAAAGTGATGACATGAATAAAGTGTGATTGTGAAGTGAGGGATATCTTTCTCTGGTAAGGTCTTGTACAAGTCTAGAAGAGAGACAAGAACACATTTTTGAGCAGAATATCTTATTGCAGTTCTACACATTCCATTTGAAAATTTGCAGGTCATGTATTTAGTCAACTGAAAATGGAGTTACAAATATAAATTGACAATTTATTCAGCAATCTTGAAACCTATTCTCAAATTCCTGTATCAAAACCGAAAGCAAGGCTGCCTATTCTTTGTTCACAGGAATGTGTTCAGCCAGTGTATCTAAATGCATACAATTTTTTGCCATAACTTTAGCTAGCACTGCACTGCCTCCTTTCTGTGTTCTGGTTTCAGCCCAGTGCACAGTGCCAATTGCACACCACTATTTGATTGTTGTTGAGCAATGAGTGTGCATAGCGATGACAGCACAGGCCTGGGGGCTGCTGAAGCTGTTATGGTCTGTATATGCCCCGTGGTCTGTGGGTTGGACATGCCTTCACTAGGCCACCTAAACTGAGAAAGAATTGGCTCTCAGAAACCCCATTCTCCCTGTTCAAAATTTGCTTGTTGCTCCTGTAAGGGAAGCTAGTAGTGACAGGAAGAGTGAGTTGTGGCACTGTTCTTTCCTTAGCAGACCCCTGGAACACAGCCTAGGCAGTAGATGGTTTATGCCTAATGCATGACTTGTAGCATTTAAGCTGATGGCATAGACCAGATTTCTTTGAAAAAGCCAACTACTTTTTCCATTCCTAAGACCAATATAAATACAACTTCATGCAATGTACTTCTGTGCTCAGATTCTTCTTACTGAATTTGGTGACTTCAGATATCTATGTAATATGACTTTTTCTTGTTATTCTATGTTCCTTCCTTTTTGCCATAACATGATTAAGTATTAATAAACTATAAAAACTCTTAATACACATGGAAATCAAAATTTTGCCTTCTTAGCTATAATATTTTCCTGCTTGTATAGTGCAGCCCAAAAGGGAATCAGTCAGCTCTGAGTAGGATACCTGTACAGTGCAATTGCTTTACATTTACTTAAGCTTACTGAAAACTTCCTCAGAAATATGAATCTACACATGTATGTATAGATACATATACACATATATGTATAAATACAAATATATTATACAGTCTCCCAGTGTATATGCGTGACACAACAGTATAAATTTAGTAAAAATCATGCTGCTGATGTGGAGGAGTTTCTGAAGTTTCATGAAGGCAATGATCATTCAAATCGAAGAGAAAAATCTGATTTTTCACAGCTATACTCCTTGTCAGAAACCATGTCTATCTGAGCCAGTGAGAAGTCAACGCAATGAGCTCTGCTTTCTGCTACCTGAACTTCTCAGCATTTGGAAAACAACAGTCTGCATGAAAATGGATACAGAATAACTGCTTGGCTGAGGAAATGAACCTATGGCTACTGCAAGGCTACTCTTGTAAAAAGGCAATTGTATTTGCAGCTAGTAAACTCAAGCAAGGTTAGATCCATCATGCAAAAAGCCTTACAGGAAAGTGCCAACTCCCTGTTCTATTCTATAAAAGCATAAAGCCATATTTGATCTGAAGCACAAATTCAGCAGCAATAGCAATGACACATCTATAAATAACTATCAGAAGAGACACTCTTCCATGTTAGAAAAACTCCTATCTTTCTGCCTTGGCCTCACGCTATGTTCTGGTACTCTTGTAAACCCCCAAGCAAAATCAGAGTATGTAACCGTGTCAAAACTTTCCCATGACACACTAAGCCTGATTAGTAATGGACAGATCTTGTTATATTCATTTCTTACAGACTTTCTTTATATTGTGATGGGATGTGTTCACGCAGAACAGCTGCACTTCAATCCACAAATTATTAGACTTAATGTGAGAATTACCAGTTAAAATAGAATGGTTTTTGTTAGGCATGAACCAA